CGGTCCTATTCATAATAAACCGGCCTAGGCAGCGCGGCGCTATCCCTCTCGGGGAACGTCTGTGTGAGCCTTGCACGAGCCGATCTTGCCTACCCTATTCTGTCCCTTCCCATCACACATTCGCAGTGCTTCGCACTGCGATCATCTATTAACGTTCTCGTTAATAGCTGAGAACCTCCAGCGGCTTGGGTTCGGCGGCTGGCCCACCGCGGCCGCGTATCACTAGGCGGTCCGCGGCACGCGGCTGCACTAGTACGTGCGTTCGTCACGCCAAGGTTGAAGTCTGTCAGCGAGCATGCCGACGAATGCCACAACATGATAACAATGACAGGAGCCTGAAAAAGCGACGATGCGGTGCAAGCCTCGCGAGAGCTTTTCCATGCAAGAACAGATTCATCACTGTCGAGGAGCCCTCGACGAAAGGGACTCATCTCAAAGAAGCTGACTGAAGGGTCTTAAATCAAGGGATTGCAAGGAAGAGCGAAGCAAAACTTATTGCAAGGCAGGACTATGGTCTCAGTTAGGAGAGAGGCAACGTACAATCTAATGGGCCGAAAGTACTAGCAGACCACAGTAGAGACATCTACGTTCAGCCTTCATAGAGTCGGCGAAAGGGCGAGTGGACTTGACTCCTTCACTTATATGCAAGAGGGACAAGCAGCCTCTACAAGCATGGAGGACGGCGATCTGGATAGATTTGTAGAGCGCTGCGCCGCCCTGCTTACGTCAGAGAGTCCAGAAGAGATTCTGAGCGGTGCTCGATTGCTGAAGAACGCACTTGAAAGCGCAGGTGAAACGGACAGCTACTCTGGGAAACTGCAAGAGCTGGCTGCATTTGATGGAGGGTTTGTTTTGCTGGTGGTTTTGGGAAGGGTTCTGCATGCACCTAGCAGGCGCCCAGGCATGCAGACGTACTCAGTGGTCCAGGATTACGAAGAAACGGTCTCCTCTGACGAGGATAAGCAAGAATCAAATGCTAGCGACCCTCTTAAATTCGCCAGCACTGGGGCTCTCTTGAGGCTGACAGACAGCAAAGTGGTTGTCGATTTCTTGCTGAAGGATGGGGCAGTCGCTAGAGCTTTAGCAGAGGAGTTCACCCTCGATTTGACAATGGGCCTTCAGAGTCTCTTCTATGAAGACCAAGCAGAAGTCTCTGGTGTTGAAACAGCCTTCGTGCGCTTTGGGGTAGACGGCTTGGCCAATCTAGCCAGGACCTCGAAGCTGTTCCGAGACGCTCTGAAGAGTCTTCCGAATATATATAACGGAAATCTTCGACGGGTTCAAGCGCGTCTTCTCGAAAGACTTTTCCAAACGACTCACATCTGACCCAGAAATGGTTCGGGACCTCAGATACCTCTCGTCAAGCTTTTTGGCGTCGCTAGCATTCGCAGCGGACAGCCAGGTCTGGGCTCTAGAGAAAGGCTTGCTTGACATCATCTGCACGGTCTTTGGGAGTACGCACAGGCGTGAGATAGCCAGCTCGCTTGTTGCCGATGACGACAGTCGGCGGCTCAAATGTCCAGCACGCAAATGCAACCTGGTGCTGGTGCGCTTGATAGAGACAGAGGAAGCTTTGAAGAAGCTGCAACAGCTCGACGCTGTCTCCCGTCTCAAAGTCCACAAGGCCATCATCAACGCGGCGTCACCATAGTCAGAGGGATTTTGGAGTCGCCTCAGCGCGATCTTATCAGGCCAGGTTCCACCCAATCTCAGGCGAATGGACGGCGACCACCCTAGGCCTGGTGCCTACAGCTCCTACTCGGACGAGCGTTGGAGGTTCATCAGGAGGCATGCTACTTTTGGGACCTACCCTGCGGAAATTGTGTGCTCTTGGAATCAGTGCACTGCTGGGCCCGAGCCAGAATCGGGGGGGTTCAGCAAGTGCGCGCGCTGTCAAGTGGCCCGCTACTGCAGGTAAGCCTGGAAGCACCTTCAATCGGGAGGTTTTGAGAGACACTTTGCTAGCAGCCAGGAAAGACTTACTTTCCTTTGATCGGTCCAAAATTCGCATGCGGCATCGCGCTTAAAGGAAAATAACCTATAGCAGATACCGTTGATGTCGACCTTTCAGACCAGCTTGAAGCCTCTGTCCTCATTAAGAATCTCTCATGAGGATCACAACAACAGAAAGTAGGAACTTTGCTGTCTAGGTTGTGCTTCATCCCATTCGACCTTAATTTTGAGGAAGCATTCAAGTGTGCTTAGCGGAAGGAAGGCTCTTATCTTTCTCAGTCTTTCTCTGCTCTACGAGGCTTTCCCTTCAACATTGTCATCCGAGCGACTTGAGCATGTCTCTTCTTGTTATCTAATTTGGATTTTCCACGGTTGGCCATATCCCCACAATTAACTCAATCTCATTACTCATGACGTTTTGATTCGGAGAACACATCAAAGAAGAACCACTCCTTCTCATAAGCTTGGACTCTTACCTTTAAACTGCAAGCTGACTGAGTATCCGACTTTGTTTTTGTAGCAAGGAGCACCAGAAACTTCATTGGAGGACTCACGGGAAGCACTGCCAGGCCCCAATGGTCATCGGAATCGCGGAACCGAAGTCGAGCCCGAAAGGAGGAGGCGCGGGCGAAGGAGCTGGTCCCGCGTGACGGATGGCATGTCACCTTTGAAGAAACAAGAAGACCCAAAGAAGTAATGATCTTTCTTGGGAATTGATGGATGTTGACGCGATCGGTGGCTGGGATCGTTCTTTGCACTCCCTTACAGTGGCACATACGATAACTGACAGCACCAATTGAGAGCCCTTGAAAGTCATTCAATTGAAGCAGTTGGGGTTTCTTAGATTCACGAGAGTGGTCGAAATTCATCTGCGTAAACCGTTGGTTTCCCTATTGTTTGAGAAGAACGTAGACTCGGGGCTCCACAAACGCCCCACGTTGTGCATGACGCGTCATAAACCATCACCCTAACACATATTGTACAGGTTGCAGCTTCTTGTCTTATACTATTATGCCTGCCGTTTGAAGTGGGAGTCGCGCTTGATTCTAACATTGTCGATGACCATGCGTGCCGATAAGTGAGATAAGCGAGACCATGTGGCAAAGTTTGCATATCTTCGCACATGGTCCTTCTGTCAATTAAATTCCGACACAAACTTCGCAGCTGCTTGTCTGGTAAGTCGCTGCTCGCAGTGGATAGCATGGTATGTGATTTATCTGATTTCCCCACTTTACGACCGGCACCTCTGCAATGCCCTTACATGTAACCGCCGTCTTCTTCCGACCCAGTACTAAAACGTCCATGGTTTTGAGCGTGGATATATCCTGTTTCAGAGCGTTCTGTGGGAAGAAAGGCCATCAACTTCTATGGATGGCGACCATACTACTCTAAGCGTCGTAATCTAAGATAAAGCCACGCGCCAAAGCCCAAGAGCAGCCATTTTCTTCTAAGTATGTGGTTCCAGCCGCAGGTCTAGCTCTCGTAATTGATGACGTGAGTTCAATTTGCCAATTGAGGGCGTATTGAAGGTCGGGCCAGGACTGGATCGGCAAACTCCATGGCCAGGCATGACGATCTGCATGAGTATCCACAGGTCTCCGCATGATGGACCTGATTATACTTTGAATGACCGTCCTCCTCGCGAGATGCCCGTTCAGCAGCTAGACCTTCGACTCGTGCCAGCATCATGTGCACAAGCCAACGTGAACTCACTGGTATGACAGACCGGATTGCAACCATGTGCTGCTTATAACATTGTTGTACATGGTGAGTCACCATCTTTATAAACCGTACCCACCATGATGGGCGCTGACGGAATGTATCTGTGTAAGACCAGCCGTAGTACGATTCTGGGCCAATCAACCGCACTCAAGCCAGTACGTCGAACAGCTCAGCGGCCGAGATCGACTATTCTGATCAGAGGACTTCTTCCGCGTACTGAAGTGAGACTCTCTCTGCAGACTGTCGCATACCTTGCCTCAGACCATGCCGGGAACCGTTCGCAACTTAGGAATTCTTGGAAAAAGGGTTGAGAAGATGGGCGCCCATCAATTCGTCTTGCCGCGCAAGAAACGTGGTCATGAGAAATACTTAGTCTTGGCCCGTGGCGAGCCACAAGCATGCTTGTAAACAATCCTACCTGTCCATGGAGGGACTCCACTACTCTCAAAAGTTCCGACGCAATGAATGGATGTTAGTAGTACAACAAAACAATGGAATGTTCTGCAATTACTTAGTGATTGAACTCTACTGAGCCGCGGCATCTATGCTCCAGCATCATCATCGAGTCCCTCGCCCACCTCTTCGAGGTCTTCATCGGCGCTTCACGGTTGCTGCACGCCGTTTCCGGACACCTTTGCACGTCGTCTACAGTCTGTTCTTCGCCTTTTCCGTGGGGTAGGTCCCGCCCCACTGACCACTGATACGCTATCAGCGGCTGGCAATGCGCGCGCCTGCCAGCTGGCACCCTGGCCCGACCCTTTATTTCCTCGGGGCCACAGCCCGCCTTTCGTCACCGTCGAAAGCCTTCGCTGTACAAACGCTCAAATGTGTAGACGCTCCCTCTCATTGATTCAGCCGCTGCTGTAAGCGTCACCTCAGTCGTCAATTAACCAATGCTTCAGCCCGGGCTCCGTCGCGTGGGGGGTTGCCACACACCCTTCACCGAGCCCCCCAGATCGAGTGCACTTTGTACCCTACGGGTCGAGCCCCCGCTCGCTGCGGGTTACTCCTCATCGTCTTGCTGACCCAAAAACTTCCCCGCTCTCTAAGTGTCCAACATTTATTCCTCTGAGTCACCCTTTCCGCAAACCAACATCCACTCAACCCCGCTTCTCCTTCTTGACCCCGCTTTCCTTCTTGACCCCTCCTTTGCTCGTCACCCTGAGTTCCTTCTTTACCTTCTTTACCTTCTTAACCCCGGGTTCCCGCTTGACCCCATTTTCCCTCTTCCCCTCGTAGGCCGTGGTCTTTCCGACCACCTTCCCTTCGACCGGTACAAACGCAAACGCCCGGCAGTCGTCTTCCCGACCGTCCCACTTCGCCCGGAAGATCCGGACGAGTATCGTCACGCCGACGGCATCCGAACCGTTCGGAACGGCGACCTTTTCGCGGACGTCCAAGATCACGTGGTCGCCGAACTCCAGCTGGTGGTCCACCGCGAACTTGCGCCAGCCGCCGGACAGCCCCTTCTGTTGCTCGATCAGCAACGTGGCTTCCCAGACGAACCCGCGCGCGTTCTGGAGGTAGACCTTGCAGTCGCGGGGCAGATCAAGCGCGTCCAGGAAAGCGGGCGGCAGGCCCTGCGATAGAGGATGTGAATGCTGGGTATTCCATAATGTAGTAAAGTCCGCTGAATAAAACCGCGCGAGTTCTGGAGGTAGACCTTGCAGTAGCGCGGCAGGTCCAGCACGTCGAGGAACGCCGGCGGCAGGCCCTGCGGTTGAAGAAGTGAGTATATGAGTTTCTGAACGGTTATAAAGTTTCGGATTATCTCTTGGATAAGATCGTGCGCGTTTTGGAGGTACAGCTTGCAGTCGCGAGGCAGATCCAGGGCGTCCAGAAAAGCGGGCGGCAGGCTCTGCGTTAGAAAGAGTGCTCAATTGAAACCCTCATGAGTTTTTCTGAACGTTCTTCAAATTACACCCCGCGCGTAGTGGAGGTAAACCTTGCAGTCGCCGGGCAAAGTATCGATTCGAGGAAAGCGGCGGCAAGCCCTGCGGTGACAGAAGAAGTGACTATGTAATTCCTTAGACAACTATAAAGTCCTCTGAACCTTTTCTAAAGAGGCCCTACGAGTGACCGACGAGTAAACCATCAACTCGACTGTCCAAAGGTGCGGCGAGCTACATCCAATTGCCCCTTCAACAGCGGCCAAAGGCGACGTTGGCTCACAGAAGTCTCTTCCACAGGTCGAGGGTTCTGATTAGAAACACCTCAGCATGTCCTCTCGATTCGGTATCTGCCAAGTCCGTCACTGTTTAAAGAAGGACTTTGCTTAACCCACCCTCCAAAAGACGCGGTCCACGTGCGACGTCTTCATGTCCAGCACGAACGGCAGCCGTTCCGCCGGAATCCGCTTTGCAGCCTTCTGCGCGGCCGCTGCCGCCGCAGCGATTTGCTCTTTGCTCGGCTCAACGTAAACGCGCCCAGTAACCTCCTCGAGATGCCGCCGACGGCCGCTTTCGGGGTCCCGGTTCTTCGGGTTCTTCTCGAAGTGGAGCTCTCCTGCAGCAACCGATGCAGAGTCGTGTTCTTCGCAGACTTCGCCAGGGAGGAAGAATAAATTAACGAGTGCCTCTCGGGGTAAATTTTTTGATCGGAAGCACTTTGGATGGACCCTAAGCACTAAATACGAAGGCGATGCTTCTGAGTAAACCATTGCTTGGCTGGCGAAGTACTCGGTTATCAGCTTTTGTATGTACAAGACAAATCCTGACATCTACAGTGCTTATAAGCAAGTACAGTCCTCTATCAGAAGGAGCAGCTTGATGTTGTCTTTCTCGATCATTTTTACGATGCATTCATCCAGCCGCCAGCATGCTCTGTGCAAGAAGTCGGCCAATTGAATCTCATTCTTTTTCGCAGGTCCGGCGAAGCGCGTCAGGCGAATATGCCACGCCCTCTTTCATCCGTGCGACTGATGTGTGCAAAAGTCAACGAAGCAATCTTAGCTAAGGTGGAATACGCCCTGAAAGCGCCCTCACTCTCGCAAACTGAAAAACTTCACTAAGTTTACTACAATATTTATAGCAAGTAAGAAGTTCATCAAAAGGATTGTGATAGCTGATTGAAAAATGCAATGGGCTTACCCTTTTTCGTCTTCCCTGGGGCCGCCCCGAGTGACCGGGGCGGAGTACCCGCCCCCGTCTTCGCTTTGCTCGTCTTCGCTTTCGCCGTTTTCTTCAGCTGCTTCGGAGCGGGCGATGCAAGCGAAACCTCCGTCTCTGCAGTAAAAGGATGAAATGGATCAAGCTCAGCCCATCTCACTTTTTTCGGTAGTGAACGTAAGTGGAACTCTGCAGGATAACTGTGCGGCTGATTCCAACGTCTCCTTTTCTTCTTTTCAGATTGATCGACTTGCAGCTTCCGTTTCCGCGGATATGAAGATTCCATCAATCTGTCCTGGCGAGACAATGGAAGGATTACCCGCAACAAATGCCGGCTATTATCACTCCTTCTTACAGATTCAAGACGTTGGAAGCTCGCAATTTTGTGGTCGTGTGTTGCGCGATGGCCAGTAGTCTTAGCCTTCAACAGGCCGCTCTTTGTAGACATCACTCTCTGAACAGCGATGCCATTGACAAAGACCGAAAAGCAGTCTTCCGAGCGCGTCATGAGACCCTAGCCGCTGAGCTTCTTGTTGAAACGGAGCCGCTTGCTAAGCTAACAAACAACCATAAGTCGGACAATCAGCAGTTCGCTAACGCGAACAAAGAAGTATTCCCCAGAACGCAGCTCTCGGCAATCGATCAAAGAGAGACTTAATCTGAAACGCAGCCGCTTGCTAAAATTCGCAAAAGAAGCGACAACGATAACGCAGACATTTGCCCTCCGCTTTTTCGACAGCCCACCTGAGCCTCGTCTCCTTTTGGCGCCAGGCCCTTCCCCGACTCGGATCTCCTCCCCTCCCACCAGATCACGCTCGACTCCTTGCGTCTCTTCCAGGGGGGTCCTCTCCACCTTTTCGAGCTTGACAACCGGACCCCCCCGGACCGGTTGGATCCTCGGCCGCCCGTTCCCAAAAGTGGATGCTAAATTCGGACCGCTTTCGTCGGCACGCGCTTTCGTCGAGCTATTGGGGGCCTTTGCGTTTGGGGCAAGATCCGAGAGTTTCGCCACTTTCCGGGGGGGTGCAGGGCCGAGCTCGGGCAGGGGGATCCCCTGAGAGTAGTCCCTTTCCGGGGGGAGGCCGTCTGGGAGGTTGAGGAGTGCGGCTAGTACCTTTAGCTGCAGAAAGAAGGATGGAGCAGGTGTTCAGAAAAAATGACATTTACTCCCAACTTTTTCGAACACAGAAAGAAGGATGGAGCCGATATCATGGAAGGTGAAATTGCCGTAGTATCTTCCGCTGCTGAAAGAGGATAGCAGGATCAGACCGGTGAGCTGTGTATAAGCACAAATTAGAGGCAACCGCAGGAACGACGATGAGTTACCGCTTGGTTCAGCTGAGACTTCATGTGTGGGTGCGACTGAGCATGACGAACGAGAGCGTGATGTCAGCGCTGAGAAGCGACCCGAGTGCTCCAACTCAAGGGTGTCAGACATTTGAAGTCTCAGCCTTCTCAAACCTGAAAAGTCGACTTGTTGTCCGCGAACAATGAAGCAGACCGTGTGCAGACAACAGATTTTCTGGAGATCTTTTTCTGGAAATCTCTAAAACTTGCAGCTTACGAAGCTTCCAAATCTTCGGCTCACCTGCGCTTCATTCACTTTCCGCTTCTCCCCCACTTGCACTCTGCCCGCCGCCCTGATCCTCCTCTCCCGCGTTCCCGTGGCCCCCGTGCAGTCCTCTTCCTTGCCCCCCCGCGACGCTTTGAAAATGCGCACGTGGAAAACGTACGGAAACACCATCTCGAACACGAGCGCGTCTCCGACTTCGAGACGGTGGTCAATCGAGAACCCGCGCCAACCCCCGCTTAACCCGCTCGCGTCGTGGAGCAGCAGGGCGTGCCAGACGCCCCCCCGGGAGTCGACGAGAGCGACCGGTTGGTCGGTCTGGAGGTGTGTCTCGCACGAGAGATACGTGAAGCCCCCCTGCGAAAGTGCATTAGGATTAGGCGGATCATTTTTTTGGAATTTTCGGGGTTGAAGAGTCAAAGGGTTGCAGAGTCAAAATCGAAGAGTTGTGGATGAGCAGGGCGTGCTAGACGCCCCCCCGGGCGTCCACGAAAGGGACCGGTTGGTCGGTCTGGCGGTGGTTCTCGCAGGAAAAACTCGTGAAGCCGCCCTGCTCGGAGAGGGAGTACGGGATGAGTGTTTTTCAAGATCAGAGCTTCAGGGCTCTCCGGTTGACAGGGGTCAAAAGTGAGGGTGAACGAAGGAGTAGTGCGTCGAGTCTTTCCAGAGGAGTCGACGAGAGCGACTAGGTGGTCGAAGTGGAACTGGTTTCGCCCCCCTGGCGGGAACTCTTTCCAAAATGCTCGTGGAAGAGACTCGTGAAGCCCCTTGCTCGGATGGAAGGGGGAGAGAACATCAGTTTCTCTAGCCTCCAGCTTTTCGGGTTTCCCGGACCGCAGGGTAAGGAGGTGTGGGGAGAAAGGAGTGTGTGTCTGATTACTCAAATGGAGTCTACGAGAGCAACCGGTTGGGTGGGTCGGGCTTTACTTTCACACGGGGCACCCCTGGCCGGGAAAACGAATCCGGGTCAGCGTTCTTCAAGTCTAACTTTTGGACTTTCTGATGAGTTGCACATTCACATGAGTCCCATGTTCAGGTGACCGAAAACATCGTCAGTCGCTCAGTTCCAGAAGATGTCAGGGCTGCAATCACGGACCATGAAAACCTGAATCGGAAACACTCACCAGCCAGAACCCCTTGTCCACGTGCGACTTGGACATCACCATCTTGACGTTCGGGTACGCTGTCAGGCACTCCTCCATTGCCTTCTTCGCCCTCCGCTGACCATTCTCCGACGCTTCCTCGTACCGGTAATGCACCGTATCCTTGTTCGTAACAAAGTGCTCCGACCCGGCCCCCCCCGGCGCCCGTGACGTCATTATCCGCCCCGCTGACGTCAGCACCCTCCCGGGACCGTCTCGCCGTCTCTTGACCCGCTTCGGCCCTCCCGGTTCTCCGCTCGACCCCCCGGCTCCGTCAGCCGTGACGTCAGCACCGTCGACGGCTTTCGTTTCTTCCCCACGGAGGTTTCCGCCGTCCCCTTTTCCCCGACGTTTTTTACCCGTGCCCTTTCTAATGATCCGAGGTTGACGTTTTACTACGGGGAAGTCTTCCGTCAGCTTTTTCTGCCGGGTGTGATGACCGTCCGTCTCACTGTGTCTCCGCTCGCCTCCGTTGAGTTTCAGATCGCTCACAAACCCGGCCCTCGTCTCTTCCATCTCCATTACCCCCCCGACTTGCCCTCCATCCGATCCCCCCGCTGCAGTAGCGTCCAGCTCCGCTCCCTTCCGGTTCGCCGCCTCGGCCGCCCTTTTCACACTGCCCCCGTATTCACACCGCCGGAACAGATGTAGGCTGAACTTGTATTTGTGATTTTTTTCGAAGAGTACCGAATCTCCGGGGACAAGTCCGTGATCTTCGGCGAAGCCTTTCCACCCACCACTGAATCCAGGTTTTCCCTTCGACGACGGGGCTGTTCGCTTGGCCTTCTTTTCCGGGGGGCGGAATAGCCAGTTGACGGTGTGCGCAGTGCCCTCTGATCTGAAGGTTACGGAGTATTCGCCCCGCTTCATGAACTGGTCCGCGACCGTGGCTGGTAGGCCCTGAAGGCAGACGAGGTACGACATATGTCTCTGCTTTCTCCAAATTGGAGCAAGTCAGTTCAGCCAGTTACTTTGAAGACACTCGGCTTTGATGATCGAAAACACAAGATTTTGAGGTTCTATAAAGCAAAAGAGCTGGGAGGACACAATACGACTGTCTGCAGATCTCGCCAAAACCATTAATGCAGAGCAACTCCAACGAGGCCGCCCCGTCAAACGCAGGATGCTTCCGCTTCGAACGGGCGCCTTCCTACATCAAAAAAAAGGGGCTCCATACTTTCGCACTGGGACACCGTTTGAACTACGGGGAACCTGATTAGAAGGACAAAACTCAGAAACCTTAGCTCAATGCCGTTAGATTCCAAAAGCTGTGACCTTATTTGAAGCGAGTTCTTGATTGTCCGCTTGCATATGACGAGGAAGACCTCACCAGCCAGCACCCGCTGGTCACGAATGACGGCAGCATGACGCGCATGAAGCACGTCTGGAAGCGCCCCTCGTACGACAGCCACTCTTGTTTCTCCGCCGGCGTGATCGCATCTGCATCGACGAAGGTTGATTACGTCAGTCATTGATACAGGCCGAATGTGAATGTAACGAGCATCAGTCTTTTGGAAAAGATGGAAAGAACTCGAATCCATGATATCGCTTCCATGACTTGGGATTCCATGGATCCAACGACAGATCTGCTGGATTACAGTCAGTCCGGAGCATTATCAAACGAAGCAAGGTCCCTTACTACTGTCCACGGACCTCAGTTTCAGAAGCAGTCATGCGCAGGGCGAAGCGTCAGCAACCTCTTACAGCCACTAAGAGGCCAGGACATTGCGGAACCAGAACTGAATGCACTCATGACCAGACGGCGCTGCCCATGACAGTGTTTCCATTCTCCCATATTACACAGCAAGCTGCCCGCTTTTGTGTCCCCCATCTCAGAACATTTTCAGATTCGTCAGTTGGACTGCCTGCCGCCATGATCCGACTCCTAACCCTCTCACTAAAGGTTCGACAACAGTCTCTTACCTCTCGCCGATCCCGTCTTACTCTCCTGTTCCTGCCACCCGGCCTTCAGCCAACCCCCAATGTCCCCTGTTTCTCTTTCTGACTCGCTTTTCTCTTCCTCACTCTCTGCAAAGAACCGTGGCCCTTCAACCGGTTCCCCGAAGCTCGGCTCTTCCGCCGCCGCCTCTTCGGGTTCGCTGTCGAACCCATGGTCGTTGTCCTCTAACCCGCTTCCGGAGTCGTCATCGATTGGCTCTGAGGGCGGAAAGTCGTCCACCTTGGAGTGCCCGTTCACACCAGAGCGACCCGCATACAGGCCAGTGTGGCCGTTCACAGCGAGCTGCTCGTTCATACCAGAGTTCCCGCTACTGCCAGGATGCCCGTTCACAGCTGAACCCCTTGTTTCCAGCCCCAGGGGTTCGTCCACCCATTCGGTCTTTACACAGACTCCGTTGAAGAGCGTCCGGGGGTTTTGCGGGGCCACCTCATCCGCTTTGGGCGGGGGAGTAGGCCCCTCCGCTGGCCCCCCTGATTGAGCATACGGGGATGGCGTTCTTGCAACAGGCACCCGCTCTGTTCCAAATAGAGATCCTTCCGCAAGAAGACTACCCAATTCCTGCATTTGGTTTGCTTCTGGAGTGGGGGACGCACTGGCTTCTGTCCCGGGGAGCAGCTCAAAGCCCACGTTCTCAGCTGCACCTTCCCCCCCTCGGGACTCCTCTTGACCGGCCATCTCAGGAACTGGAGTGATGTCAAGAACCAGACTCTGACCATCTGGTGCACCCAGTAACACTTCCGCTGCTTCTACTATACCAGGAACCCGTTTCTCACAAACCACCTTCTCCACGACGCCCTGCCCCTCCGCGTTAGAATTGGCTCCCCGCTCGACCTCCCCACCCCTCTCACCGAAAAGACGCTTCCTACTTCCTACCGCAAAACCTGCGCCACCCGCTCTTGGATCAGAGCACGCCCCCAATGGCGGGGCAACCGACTCCGAGGAAAGAGTTGAGTCCTTCCCCAGAGGCTGCGTTGCTTCCGCTGCGGTGAACTCTTCCCTCCCCTCGTGAACACCTTGCACCATGTTTTGAAGGCGCGCCAGCATCTCGCTCGTTCTCCGAACCTGCTCAGCGAGTTGGTCGAGCTTGGGGGGGGGTGTGCTTTGAACCGGGGTGTCTGGTCCACATAAAGGGGGCACCGTCACAAGTTTTGCAGGAGTGATCAAGGGCGGCTCTTGGGGTGTGTTGAGGGGGGCATCGAGGGGTTCATGCTTGACAACAAGCAAGGAGGGGCGGGATCGTAGAGCATCCATCCTGCCAAAAAGGTATTGACAATCAGTAAGATGTCTATTGCTGGGAGAGACTTAGAATGAAAAACGGACAGGAGTTGTGATGCAAATTAGAAAAGATAGATTGAAGCGAGCTTTGAATAATGGGAAACCAAGGAGTAACAATAGTGGTTGCAGAGGACAAAGAACGCCCCAAAAGATCCGATTAGAAGGCGCCTATGTTGCCGATGAAAGGCCGCAAGAGCGGTGAGCAAATGAGATATAGCGTGAAGAGTGATCTGTAGAAAAAAGCTGAAGACTAATGAACAGAAGGGGATCCCCTGCCTGCTTGAGAGGTATTGAGCCTAGTGGCAAAGCAACTGATGACCAGGCTTTGGTTTGCTTCTCAATTGCAGCATTGCAGACAGCTAAGCTGATATACTGAGCTTTCACAGGGTGAAAAGATTTGTTGCCCTGCTTGCTAAATGAATGCAGTCACCAACACCTCAAGCATGAGACTTGCACTGGTTGTGTGGTCTACCACGTTTTATCCATCAAATCTGGTGGTAAAATGTCCAAAGCAGTGGGTAAATTGAGCGCTGGCATTCGCTTTAAGAGCTGGCCAGAAAATGACATCAGCATTGGACTCCAACACAAATTGCCGCAGAAAGAACTGAAGGTTCTTCACGAGGACAGCAAGATAGTCTATAAGTGAGCAACTCACAAATTCGTTACAACCACATTGAACCATCTCGGGTCCAGCACTGATAAGACGTTGGACAGCTCCTGATGCATAAAGGATCCACCCAAATGGGCACAGTCGGTTGGTCAATGCAGCATTGTACGAAGTGTTGGAGGGGCTTTAGATCCTGAAAAGTGCACTCACCTCCTTATTGTTGTTATAAAAGGCACCGCTGATGCGTCCAAATTGTTGTGCCTGTGCCGTAGGTCAGGATCAAGTGCCTGGCCCCAAATTATGCACAATGTAGACTCAACTGTCAACACCTACCTGAACTTATAACCTCAGGGAGCCATCGCATTTCATGTGCATTTTACTGATCATCAGACAGCCCTTTGCAACAAGGCATCATGGTGCATGATCCGCACATTGCAGGGCGGACAGCGCCCTTTGCAGCTCTTGAGCACAGGAAACACACCATCACAGCTGCTTTATCACCAATTAAGCTGCTGATAAAGCAGCAAGTCGAAGATCATCTCAAGGATTTCAACACTGACACTAGACCAAGCCTGCAGGCCAGCCGCCACACAGGCATGATTTGTCAGTGCTGCTGACGTCATTAGCGACCCTCTTCGCGCCAAACCTGGGTTCCTCAATGCTGAGGTGGACAAACCCGTGGACGAAAAGGCTTACAGAGCCGCGATCTCTTCGGCTGACGGTTCGATCAAAAGTATCGACGGTTCGATGATGGCATTGCCAGATGCCTCGATTTTCACGACAGCCGTCGATGTGCATCAATATCTATCTTGGACGTCCATGCAGCAAACTGCTGACGGGGCGGATCAAGCATGGCACATGCTGACGGGTCAAGGCAACAACTTGAACAAAGTAATACAAACCCAAGCCTAGAGCAAAGGAGGCGCGGAGAATGCACCGCCTGCTGCAGTTGCTGACACACAGGAAAACAAAGCTTCTAAAATACGGTAGTCCTAGATTGCCAAGCTCCTAAGTCGTTTTGCATCCTTCTGCAATCCGTTTTGTTCAGCTGGAAAGAGCTACCTATTTTGAACTTGCTTTCCACATTCTTAGTCTACGGCATAAAACATCTATCTTACATTATTGTGCAACGATATCTCTGAGAACCAATTGACGGGTTGAGTACAGCCGCAACGATGGAAGTGCACACCACGTGCGCCCGCCTCGCCGACCACGGCACATTTTCCCATGGAGCCGCTCCAAAGCTTTCTGCGTACCGACAGCTGTCAAACCCCCTGCACACATTCGCAGCCGCGCCCCCAAGCTCAAAACGCCCTCGCACGCTGCAAACCCCGTGCCGCGGAGGCCTAACCACAGTGTATGTGCCAAAGGAGAAGGATGAGAAAAAGAGTGTGCGGTTGTGGATGTCGCCCCAGGACTCGCAGCACCTAGTGAAGCAGCTGCTTGAGCATGACACCAGCAATGCGCTGGCGGACCACTTTGACAGCAAGCGCGCGGACAAGGGGCTGTGGTGCACGGTGGCAGACTCGGAGCGGATGAGGAGAGTGGGGATTAAGGGGTGCAAGGGGCTGCTGCTGAAGCGGAGGAGTGTTGAGAATGTGAGTGAATGTTTGCTGCAATGGACTTAGAATGTGGGTGTTATAGGACTGGCTTGAAATGCAGGACCAGGAGGTTTGGTCTTGCTTTCAAACCCTTAGCTTCCATTGTTTGTTCAACTTTTGGAAGTGACTCGGAATGGAGCACTTGTTCGTCTAGGTTTGCATCTCTTCTCCTGAGCCGGTTGTCAACAAATCTTGGCTGACCGACTACCTATCCTTAACAAGGGTGCTCGATCTCGAATTGCCGGAAAATTCGTGTCCTTCATTGTGTGCTTGGCGGGGTGACTTGGCACTCTAAGGCTTGCCTTAGACCTGTAAACCCCCAATTGGTCATCCTGCCACATTTATATGTTTCCTTTGAACAACAATCACGATCCGCCAAATGCACCAACAAGTTTACTGAAAGTTTATGTTGAAAGGAAGCTCTTGCCTGTTTGAGCAACTGAAGAACATGGTTTGCATCAGCTCCGGTTGCTCGTGAAAGCCCCAAAGGCTTCTCCTCTGATGCGCAGCTCAGCCGGGAGCGGAACAGCGAGCTGGACTCTGGAATTCTTGAGTCTCATTGTCTTTTGCATCTTCCTCTCACTTCAATCTCGAGAAGCATGCTCTTTTATCTGCCAGCGGCAATCACATGCATTTTTGGAGATCATCATGCATTAAGCCTTCTTTTTATCGCCCTGCTTTGGACTCGCGTTCTTTGTCATGCCGTTATCCTGGACAGCTAGGTTTCATCATACAAACCCCTAAGGAAATATATCACGACTCTATCCGGTAATCTTGGAACTTCTTTCTGAACGTCTGAGCTTTTCTACAAACCACAGCTTTCCAAAAGTTTTTGTCAGCAACCCAAATCTTCCATCCTTTTCAACACCGGCGCATGATCAAATCAAAGTCCTCTTCGTCATTCGATCTTCAGGGTTTACTTATTCCTGCTGGGCTCTTCAGAGACCGCAACCAACAGAGGCGTTTTCTCAACCCAAATTCAAACCCTTATCAGCTACTCAACCCAATCTCATATCATGCTTACTCTTGCAGAATTGGTGGGTTTGGATCCCCTCCCTTGGAGTGTTCAGCCTGGAGGAGGCCGATTTCACGGGCGCGAATCCGACGGGGCTGGCGGATGGGAGCGGGTGGACGCAGGAGCAGGCAGTGCTTGTGCTAGCGGGGGCGCCCAGCCACCAGGCGCGGCAGCAGCACATCGAGACGGTCGCAGCATGGTACGTTCCAAGCTCGTTTCAGGAATATTTCACCTGGCTGAACCTCGGGTTGAGGCAATCAGCGCCGGCGGTATTCCTACACTCTTCTTGGTGCCTCTGAAGTAACTTCACACGAATCCAAAGAATCCTTGTAACTGCCTGATAGATCCAAGACTCCAATCAAGGCATGCTGCACTCTTCTTGTTGCCTTTGAGTAGCTTCACATGAATCCAAAGGATCCGTCGAACTTGTGCCTGATAGATCCAAGACGCCAAATCAGAGCGAAAGAGGATTAGATCCATGAACCCTTCAGGACCTTAATGCACTGTAGCTTACTAATTAGCCAATCTGGCTGGATGCAGTGATCTGGCCAGAGGGAATTCCCAGCATGGCTCTGGGGTTCGTCTTATGCATTTCTTGATATAGCAGTAGCATGGAAAATTGCAAGCCCTCTCCGAGCACCTCGCACTTAATGATGGTATCTGTAGATCTCTTTAACTTAGAACCCCTCGATGATCAGTGCTGATCATGGCTTGGCTGCCTGGCAGGTGGGAGCAGAACGCATACAAGAACATAGATTCATAAGAAGTGCAATTGTATTAAACGCCTTCCCGCACCGTCAGCACTCCAGACATGCGTGTATCTTTCTCCAGGTAGAAGTGCACTTAGGCAGGATACTGCAGATCGGCAGGGGGGAGCAGGACATATATGAGAACATAGATTGAGTGCTGATCTGACTTTGTTGCTTGGCAGGTGGGAGCAGGACGCGTACGAAACCGTCCGGCAGTGGGGCCACGTCCGCGCAACGCCCATGACTGTTGACCAGGATGTGGCGGGTATGACGGGCTGCGTGCTGAGCAGGCATAATGACAAGGGGGATGGCCGGGGGGGCTGGCGAACCATCCAGCTGCCAACCCATGGTAAGAGAACGAATCTTTGCCATAAACGTCAGAAATACTAGTATGCTGTGTCTTTGTTGCCAGTTGCAATTGCATGTTGAAATGTGGATTTATCAGGTGATTGACTGGAGCGGGAGCCATTCAGCTGCATATTCAATAGTGACTGATAGTGATTTCTGCCTTTCAAACTCGCTTTTGAAGTCTTGCCTGGGGGCTTGGTGCCGAAGTTGGAAGGCTGGATTTGAATTGCTGTAACGATCAGGCCAAAACGGATTGCCGTGGGGCACCGGAGGTTTTCCTGAAGGTTGTTTGCAAATATTCGGGCTGGTTGCGAAAGATGGCAGTTCATGAAGGAAGGCTCTCCAAGGAAAAATCCCTAGTTCAACTGCCTCCTCGGACGAAAGTTGTGTTTTCTGCTTCGGATGGTTATCGTTCCTGGCTAACCATCTCATCCACTCAGCACTCCCCATCCTTTTATCCTCTGCCTCACAGAGGACGGCGTTCTCTCAAATCAGCATGAACTTTAACTTGACCCATGCTTTCTCGAGCAGGCATCGTGACCGTTCAGCCGTCCGAGTTCGTCGAAGAAGAGGGCATCCTCCCCCCCATGCTGCGCCCCTGGTGGGCGGTAGTTCGCCCCACCGAGTACGCAGTCGACCGCGGCATCGCGGGGGGGCTCGCGCTTATCTTCGCCCGGTCTGTGGGGTCCCGGGGGAAACTAGAGCGGGCCATCTGGTGGGCGTGGCTCCCGGGGCGGGGCTTCCGCAAGCTGACCAACGGAGAGGTGCGGAAGATGGCTCCCATTGACTGGAGTATTTTTGCTCGTCGCTTATTCGTGAAAGGGGCTCTTTCCGGAACGTGCTTCATGTTGTAACACGGGCTGCGATAGGGCATTGAAGATGGACGTCTATCCCGATCTTGCTTTTTGTGACCTTTTGTTGGTTTGTATGGTCATATCTACACTCAGGAGTTTTCCGAGGAGCAAGGCTGAAGCTTTTACCTTGTCCGCTCGCACCTGCTCGGTGAACTGCAGTGCTTGTTCTATACTGTCCTGAACTTCAGCTGGCAAACTTGAATAAGAGAAAAAACGAAAGAGATCTGTGAACGACAGGTTGTATGACGATTGAGCCACCTTCATTGTACTTTTTAAACGGAATCTCTGATGTGTCCAGTCTTGTAGAAAAACGATATCTAGTTCCAAAGCTGGCCTCTTGAAATCTGCCGATTCTCGTCCTCATAAGAAGCGTCGGGCTCGTACTCTGGGAACACGACTTCTGAAAGTTGACGGTGTGTTGATTGACGATGCTGTTCTCTTGACTTAGTGAGTGTAAGAACCAAAAATCGTAGATGGGGTCCATGTATTCTAGACTCTGAGCAGCGCCAAGGGAGAATATAATAAGCAAAAGTCAGAGTCTCATTTCTTCTGAGTCTGAGCTCTCGTTCTGGTCCCCGCAGGTTTCTCAGGGCTGCCAGGACGTAGTGCGCCTCGGCTCTCCCGACCATCTCCCGATTAGCGCCAGCCACGCGTTTCACCACTAGTAACGCTCCCTTGATGGAACCCTCGCTTCAGTCAATCTGCGCAAAAAGTTGAAGAAGTTGGGCTAACGAAATGAGCCATCACTTCGGGATTCGGTTGTGGCGTTGCCTTTGGGACCGGTAGATAGTTTTGTGTATGCGTTCTTCACTGTGCGTATGGTCGTTTCATCCATGTAAGGTAGGACAGCGGAGATCAGGCTCAAACGCCGAGCTCTTCGCCCAGTCAGGCGAGCAGACGACGGCGTTTGGTGCTACAGATAACATCAAAGACACTGTTAGTTCGACTGTACAGTGTTTGGGCTCGAGTAGACTGTCATGAATTGATTGGATTTGCGGTGTTGCCTGCAAGCTTCGAATCCGTGTAAACGTGTAGGATCAGTAGTTGGTTTCGTCGCGCACTTGAAAAGGGTTGCTCGTAAAATTTGGACCATCCTGACCCACCGGTTGCTTTTGGGTCATTGTGGATGGTGCTCTCATGCATCTGATCGCGAAAGTCATTTCAGCCGAGACGTTTGTCCCCTTGACCCATCACTCAGATTCAGATACCAGAAGCAGTAAACGCTCAATTGCCATTGATGGTAGTCTTTCTTGATATCTTCATTTAGTGAAGCCTGTAATGCGTGCTGTGTCAACATACTCGGGCACTCCGGGCAGATCGTCCATGAGGGATGATCTTGACATCATGCACGCGTGTACGTTGATTCACGACCATGATATCCCATCAAGGCGGATTGCAGATCTACTTGTTCTTCAGGGCAGAAACTGGACAGCAGTTTCGATCTCAACGATAACAATGCGATCCTGGATTCGATTCAACTCAAAGTTGCCTGAGTATTGAGCTCACGAACCTTACGTTAACCGTCGTCACTCTTTATGCACAAGTATGGAGCTAGGCAGGAAACATGTACGACGTCTTATTGCATTGGTACGGCCCTTGGCACTATAGTCGATCCTTGCAGAATTCGAGCCACGAGGTCCAACAGGATAATGAAAATATGTTGTGATGATTGCAGATTGTGCACACTGGTGCAAAATAATATACAATATGATAGAAAGCGTGATTGATGAATGGACATTGTCCCGAATGCAAGCCAACACAACAAGCGTGGCCAAGCACAGTCACTGCCCGAAGGCAATGGAAATGCCCCGGCCGGCGCGCGCGTCCGATCTGCAGTATATATACCTCAGGCTGCGCGCGCGCTCGGACGAGCGCTGAAATTACGCTCTAAGCTAGATCTGGCCGCCAATTTTCATGTCCGGCTTGCCAAGGCATGCAGACTGAGACTCAGAGGGATTGCCCTGCATGCTGGGCGCTGTTCAGTGTTCGGCAGAGAATCGGTTGGAAAGGGTTCTCGAGGGCGCGCGACGGGATCGCTTCTCGCCAAGCACCGACATGCAGCTGTACGCGTGTTCCGATCGACGATCTTGGACCGGGGCACGTGAACCGAGCCAATGACAATGGCGCACCCCTTTGACATCCATTGACCAAATCCAGTCAGGCCGACGGTTATCTTGAGGCTTCTCTTTTGGCTAGCAAGCCCCTGTGAAATTAAGAAGGCTGAATTGCGCTGCCTTGCGCTGGGACATCTAAACAATACCGTACCGAGAACCGCTTCGGTAACTGCATAAGGGAACCGGCCACCTTCACCGACAGTCCTAGATCCCTATGCAGACCTCCCGGGGCTACCCCTTATTTCTCCCGGGCACGACCGGGTTGGGGTCAAACTCTTATGCATAAGAAGCCCTCGACAAGCTTCTTATTAAATTGTGCTCTCTGATTAGTAGATGGCAATCTGTTGCCCGAATTTTGTTGAACTTTGTGCCGCTCAATTTTTAGCTCGCCCATATTTATATGGGGCGAGGTATAGGGTTCATTCGGATGTGGGGTCTCTCTGGCAAATTATTTCGCAGTATGACGCCCGGGCTTAATGGCACAACAGTTGAGTCTCATGTCGTACTACCGTTTTTAAAAATATCTGAGGCCAATAAGATTATGCCGTATAATGGAGGAAAACTCACAGTGAAATTGGTAAGACAACATGTCTCGTTTCTGCGACGACGGCGTACAGTTACATTCATCTACCTGTTTTTATTTTTTTCAGTTAAGGCGGCAGACAAAAAAAGATTTTCCCTTAGGTCACATCACACGGTCAAAATGTGTGAGACGTAGACAAACCCAGCTATACAGGCCGGTTTTCGCCGAGATTGCCGCGCACACAAGCTTTTGTAATTTGCCGTACGGTATTACCGGCCAGCGCCCCCCCCCACCCTCTGCTTGTCACCCGGGTCTAGCTACAACTGGGTAAGTCTGCCTTGCGAAATGAACCGGGCAACCCATCGGAACAAGTCCATACAATTTGTACCGGCTGGCCCCCCACCCCCCCGTCCGCAGAGTCAAAAATGACTGCTATATATATATTAACAAGATAGATAGGTATACGGTATACGGCAGCTTGCCGAATGAATTACCGGATATCTATTCTGACATTGGATGCATATATGTACCAAGCAATGCATGGGGATCGCCGCCGCACCCAGATACCTTTGTGAATGAGCGCCGGCCCGCCCTCCCACCCACCCTCAGCGTTGCCTTTCAAAGAAATTTGATGCTTTCTGAATTGAGGCGAGCTGCAAAATCCGCCGGAGGCGGATTGCTTCGTACTCGTTTATCTAAGAAATTCGTCAGTGCGAATTCGTTGTCAGACTTGTCAAAAAGAGCAAGCACTTATGAGCACAGCACTAGGTCAGATACTAACTCTATGGTGAATTTATAAGTATGCCACGCTATTTCCGAAGCAGTACTCTCTGCCCGGGCGTGGTTGTGCGCCCTTGGGCGGCGGGCTGAGCAGCTATGACCTGCCTACTCTGCTCTCAATGGCTTATATCTTGATAGGGCGTTTGGAACAATTTTGACCCAGTCGTAGCCTGAAGCTTGGCCGTTATTCACTTTCTGCATAGGGGACGCATGATGGTGCATCCTCTTGTTCTTTGGATACATCCTGCGGAGTTGAGAGATCAATAGCTAAGTTTGTGACACTGTCATTGTCTCCCCTCATGTGCCCTTGCATTGCATTAGACAGCATTGCAACTGACAGCATTGCAGAAGACCTTGCGAATTGGCACCATCTGGGAGCCTCCTCTCAGCAAATTGGAAGCTAGCAGGTTGCTCCAGCTAGAATGAGGTTCGATCAGTCTCAGAAGCACCATGCGCGCATCCTGCTTGCGCTGCGGCACCGCCGCCGACTCGGCCTTCGCCGAGAAGGCCGAGCGCTCGCTCTTCCTGGCCGCACTGGTCACCCAAATGGACGATTTCCGCGAGCAGATGGAGAGCGACTGGGCCGCCTTTTCGGACGAGCTGCACCACCGGATCCTCCCCGCACTGCACGCGACGGATGACGTCAGCATCGACGTCGCCGCCCTGCAGAAAATGGCGGATGATGTCAGGGAGCAGTGCCTGGCATGGCCCGGGCCGGTGCAAGCGGAGTTTGAGATGGTCGCCGCGCGGGTGGCCGCCGCAGCGGCCGTCACGGCGCTTCCGAAGCGGTGGCGAGAGAAGCAGGACCTGCTGAACCACTTTCGGCAACTAAAGAGGAAGCTGAGGAGAAATGGCGCAGTGGAGCGGGACGTCAGTCTGGCGAGCGTTCCAGGTACGTTGGAACGCAGGGATGAATCTTTGTGCATCAGGGAGAGAGGAAAAGATAAACCAAAGAAACGCCGCGGCGCACGATGAGACGATTCTGACTTGCATTAGTTAGACTTGTTGGAAAGTTTGGGAATACGACGATGGCGTTCCGCATCGCAGATTGGTTTCCAGCTAATCTCCCTTGGAAAAGGAAGCTGAGAAGATTCAGAAGTAAGCCTGAAGCATCCCCTTCCCCTGTTACAGAGTGCAGCCCTGAGGAGCAAGCAGGACGTTTGAGTTCACAATAGCAGGAACCCAGTTGATGATAGCCTTCCTTTCTTAAGCGGAATAACAGGCCGCGCGGTGCTTCGAGATGTCCCGCTTGTTGCTCTAAGAACTTCGCATGCTCTTCCATCTGGAATGTTTGTCTTAATCCAGCCTCAGTCTGGTCTCTCAACGTTTGACGTTCAAGATCAATCGTTGAAAAAGCAGAAACGAAAAGTATCACTTTCACAGGATTCAGTGTCAGGAATTCTTGGTTCGCCAGAAATGATTGATAAGATGAGTCTTTGGCATGCTTGAGGCCCAGAATATTGCGAATTGTGCCACTATAGTCGTCACATAATCATGATTTGGTTCTGGCCCACGCTCGTCTTTATTTGGGTCTGCCTTTCGTTTCCCATGTTTCCATTTTCATTTTCACTGATCCATCTCAACATCCTGCATCTAGTATCTTACAAGAGAAGTCATAACACCAATATGGATGAGGATCAAGCAGTCGTTCTGAGATACGTAAACCAAAGTCCTCAGGCGAGATCTGGCCCTCCTCATCATTCCGTTCCGTTTCTCCTCAGGCGACTCTTCCCCCGGCTTCATGGAGGTCGCCCTCTTCTTCTGCACGCTCCGCGCGCCCTCCGGCCGCCGCACGCCCGCCGACTTCTTCGGCACCGCGCGCGCGCCCGCGCCCTCGGAGGGCCTCGTCCGCGTGTCCCTCCCCGACTTCGACGGCGTCGCATCGAACGGCCCAGAGCTACCCTTCGGCTGGACACACCATCGAAAACGGGCGACCGGGAACACGAGCAAGAGCCTGGAGATCAGCTCGTGCATCGTGCTCGACATCGAGCATTTCGTGCACCACGTGGTTGCTGGCCGCGAGCCGGGCAGCCGCGAGACGACGGTGTTCGTGCACGGGTTCAACAGCACCTTTGCGAACTCCGCGCTGAAGATGGCGCTCTATGCGTACAAGCTCCGCGAGAATCCGATCGTCCTCTTCAGCTGGCCGTCTTTTCAGGTGAAGAGTCGCTGCATTGTTTGAAGAGGTGCCTTTGTATGCTTCGGAAAAGCTCGTTTGGGGGCTCGCTTGAGCGGATGCTGATTGCTCTACGAGGTAAATGACTTAAGCGCTCACCTTTTGCCTGATGTAGTTTCGAGCATTTGCAGAACATCACAAAGGCTGAAGTCCTCTGTTTTCTACTGGTCTGCTTCTAAGAGGCAGGGACCAAACTATGTGGAGAATGGACGGAGTAACTAGACCGACCGTTGACATCTAGAACGCATGCACAACCCGCACTCAATTTAGTCTCGCCTTTTAGAAGAACATGGCAATTGAGGCGCCCCCGAGCTACGGCATGTTTAGAAACAATAGCTCGAACCCTTGACCTCGCCCCAAAATGATGTTTTCGACGGGTTGTTCGAGAACGCCGACAAAGGCGAGGATTCCAGTATATCGTCGAGGATCACCCCAGAACTTTTGAAACCCTCCAAACCCTCGCCCCATCATCACAATCCGGGCGTCCAAGCTCTCTAGTCGATACATACATACATCATTCGCTTGCTTTTGGAGTCTTGGTAAAGGTTGCAATCAGCTAGGCACCGCATCACTGATATTGAAAATCCTACGACCCAGCTCTAGCGTCCTTCATTTCCATAACCCTAAAACCCTCAATTATGATAACCCTGCTCCCGCAGTCGGTGGATCAGTACGGCGGCGACGAGGCGCACGCGATGTGGGCGGTTTCCCACTTCGTTGCCTTTATGAAGCGCCTGCTGACGTCATACCGGCTGGAGAAGGTGCACGTGCTCGCGCGCAGCATGGGCTCGCGTGTTGCGCTGTACGGCCTCGCGCGCCTGATCGGGTGGAAGGCGCCGAAAGGCGCCGCGCGGCTGGGGCAGCTGGTGCTGGCCGCGCCGGACTTCGACACCGGGGAATTCTTCGACCTGCAGGCGGAGCTGAGCCAAGTGGTGAGAGAATGTGCTGCAGAGAATCTGCCGTCTGATTTTGCCCTTTGATGTAACGTACCTCGAGCGTTTGTGCAAATAATAAAATTAGGGTCGAGAGGGTAATAGGTACACGGTTTTCGTTGACGCCATGCGCTTTCGATCAGTCCAGGAGCTTCTCCATCTCTTGTCTGGGTTGAACTCCCAGTGCTTCATGGATCGGTATCTTTGAGGCATCCGTGAGAGTATGAATCAATGGACTTGACCGGAGCGCTAAAAGAAGTGGACTAATTGGAAAAGGGGAAATCAACGATCCGCCTTTGAGCGATCCACTACTACGTTAATCTCATTGCAACATCCCTCGACCTTCTAGGTCGAGATTCCTATTGTTAAAGCAGAAGCACGGTCATCAACCTGTACCTTCAATCGTCCGACGCTCGTGTCCCGCTTTACGTCCGGCTTTACTTGTTGTGCTGTAACACAGGCTTCCTAGATAACCCGTCTCTGTCTGATAAGTTGGGTGCTGATCATCCGGACGCAGACTAACGCGACTCAAGCGGTGCATAGACCGCGGGGGGTCATAACGTCCTTTCTTACATTCCGCTCCATCGTTGACACGTTTCTTCATCTTATCAGGTCGAGCGCATCACCGTGTACTGCTCCGCCAACGACCAGGCCCTCCACCTGTCCGCGCGCGTGCACGGGGGCCTCCCCCGGCTCGGCAACTTCAGCACGCGCGGGCTGCACTCCGCGAGCCGCCACGTGCCCCTCGCTGACAACGTTGACGTCATCGACGCCACGGGTTTCGACAAGAGCGTGATCGGCCACACGTACGTCTTCACGCACACCGGCGTGGTGGAGGACGTGTGCGCGGTTTTGCGCGGCGCGGCCGCAGCGTCGCGGCGCGCGGCGCTCCGCCCGGAGCGCTTCGAGGACGCGTTCCGTTACTGGCGCTTCGTCGGGGGGGCGGAACGGCCGGCAAAGGCGGAACAGGAGAACGTGGAGTCGGAGTTGTGTGAGGAGAATGCGACATAGAAAACCGATGATGTATGCTTGTACTAGAAACTGAGACATATTCTTCTGCGGTCAAGTTGAGAGAATATCGAAGTCAAAAGCTTGGAACGATCATTTTTAGTGTTGCGAACACTCCTGTAGAAATTACAGCTCCTGGTGCTATACATGTTTATGGAGAATGTCACGTATATGAAGTGTGAGATTGAATATATAGACGAGTAAAACACTGGCCGACCGTTGACAACGGAACTTAAAGAAAGGATCAATGCAGTCGAACTATTGTAGTATACTTTTTAGTGGCGTATAGTTTGGTTTGATAAAGATTTGTTATACAACATAAATCGAGTCAACGCATCTCTGAGTCCGTGCACGGTAAAAGCTCACCGGGCCAATATTCAAGAGGACGATTCACAGCCTTAATTGGATATGAGGGACGCTTCTGGAAGGAGAATGCGGATCTGCTTGTCCGCTTAATCTGAATGATGAACCATGCGCCCTCAATGCGCCTCTATATAATGATCGCCCACTGTGCTGATAAGTACTCAGTGCTCACTCATTAAGTTTGTCATTGATCATCAGCGGCTAATACCGCTCCATGCGCTCTTTGTCATGCACAGTAACCAGCCCGATCTCCTCGGTTAAAAGCTTTTCATGATCCATACATCTACAATGTACATAGCGTTGTAGAAGAAGGTGACAGGTCCGCCCGTAACTATGCCCGGTTGCTTGATGGAAAAGTGCTCGGGACTTTGGCCAAGATTCGCTCGAAGCGATAAGGCCAGTCAGAAGCTGCCAAGTGTCTAGGCCCGAAACATGGTGTTGGAGCCTCGGGAGGGCGGCGGTTGCCCAAGCTGCGCACTGAGGATGTATAGTTCTACCGGCACTACTACCGATCAGTACGTGAGACTAGTAGTGGGGCAGGTCGGGGTACCGGTTCAAAGTCTACCGTGCTCTTTTGACCGGCCGAAGTGCATTAGCTGCAGTCGCAGACCGAGTTGCAAGCTAGGTTTCAAATGATCCGGATCCTCTACACGTTCGCGTGACTTTCAATACCCGGTACGCGCAACGGCCAAAATAAGTTGCATGTACTGTAGAGGTTAACTGTCAGATAATATTCCGTACTTTAGTTCCGTACGTTGCGCCGGTTGCGGTCGCGCTGGCTGACTTCACCGCGCGCCGCGTGTCAAAATATAAGTACCGACGTGCGCGGCGGTTCGATTTCCAAGTTCCGTACGGTCTGGGTCGATTGACACTGCAAATTGCCTCAATTTGCCTGAGGGCTGCGCGGACCGTCGATGATGAATTTGACGGGCAAGATTACACCTTATCGCTTCGATCGAATCTTGAAATGTCAGAAAGATAGGGGCGGGTCCGCAAGCTTCTTCTACAACGCTATGCTAAATTGTAAGCTTTAATTCCGAATCCAAGCAGTCTTTTGTTTGATCGTTTCACGACGTTTGCACCGAGAGGCATTTAAGAACGCAATGCTTACGTTCGTTGCGACATACCCGAACATATAGCACTGTCGATTCCAAAGGCTATTGGAAGACTGCATGGACTTCTAAGCCACCCGGACCGCTCTCGGAAATCTTTACTCAATCTGAACCCTAGCTAGAATTGATTCGAGAGAATTTGAATGTTTTGCAGCCGTCCATGTGCATCAAACCCCCGCGTTTGCGGGAAACACCAAGACGGGCTTCAAAACCAATCAAAGCTCTTTCATGACCTCGTCTTTTCCGATGTCATGTCCGTACATGAATGTATACTTCCATCTTACTACTCTACTCAGATGATGAGACTATAAACTATGAAGACATCCGGAGACATGTTGCCTGTAACCCTGACCCTGACCCTGACCCTGAACCCTGAAGCTTCTGAACCCTGAAGCTTCTGCTGGTTTAAAATGCAGGCTTGCGATAATTTATCAAATTTGAGAGACGGGAGAAGGAAGAGAAAGCAAAAGGGTTCGTATGCAAAGGACGTTGATGGAGTCTTTCGAACAGCTACTGTTGCGTTGGTCTGTTCATATACAACTTGCAACTTGGCACGCGTCACTCTAGTCCTTTGGACTTATGTACTGTTTGCAAGGACACGCGGGAATCAAGCCGGTAATCACTGGAGATGTTTTCCGTTTTCGAACATCAGGCTTGCTTCCAGAACCGATATTGCTGACAAATCCATCAGACCGCAAACTTTCTACACAAACATCTGTACTTCGCCGTCTCTTAGGGTATTACAAAGTAGTAGTAATTTTCTCGCGGCTTCCTACGACGTCTTATGCTCTTCACATAGTTCCGACTCCACGTTCTCCTGTTCCGCCTTCTCCGGCCGTTCCGCCAACCCGGTGAAGCGCCAGCAACGGAACGCGTCCTCGAAGCGCTCCAGGCGCAGCGTCGCGCGCCGCGACGCCGCGGCCGCGCCGCGCAAAACCGCGCACACGTTCTCCACCACGCCGGTGTGCGTGAAGACGTACGTATGGCCGATCACGCTCTTGTCGAAACCCGTGGCGTCGATGACGTCAAAGTTGTCAGCGAGGGGCACGTGGCGGCTCGCGGAGAGCAGCGCGCGCGCGCTGAAGTGGCCCAGGCGTGGGAGGCCCCCGTGCACGCTCGCGGACACGTGGAGGGCCTGGTCGTTGGCGGAGCAGTAAACGGTGACGCGCTCAACCTGTCGAAAAATGTGGGACGTAGCAATCACGTCAGAACTGGTAAGCATGAAGGGTCCTGAACGCTGCGCAATACGGTTCCCGCGGTCGAGACACATGGGATCTTTTCCCAGTCTGCGTAGATCAATAAACTTTAAAAATCGCGCTTTCTTAGCTTTCTCAGAATGGCAAGTGGGCATAGCAATGGGTCACGTACTATTGGACCGTTCAGAAGGTAAGACTACAGGAACCTTACTTGCTCAGATAAGGCTCTGTCAGCGCTTCGGTCACAAAAAATTATGATTCTGACGGATGTCACAAGGACCCCTCAATCCCTTTCGAAAGATGGGGAGGTTTCGCCAGATCCAAAGAAGCTGCAATGGCGCTCATCAAAAGCGCCAGCCACTGTTTGGGCCATCGATTACCTCTCGAAATTAGATTTTACCATCCGCACAGACCTTCGTGGTACGAATCACAAAATCGATTTGCCAAGCGTGATATTTGCAGCAGTTCCTCACCACTTGGCTCAGCTCGGCGAAGAACTCCCCGGTGTCAAAGGACCGGTTACTAAAGAATGGTTCAAAAAGCGCGCGTAAATCCTGCAGAAGTTTCCTCACCGCTTCGCTCAGCTCCGCCTGCAGGTCGAAGAAATCTTCGGTGTCAAAGCACGGGTTATCAGAAAGAAGTTCATAAAGCGCGCGTAAATTCTGCACAAGTTCTCTCACCACTTGGCTCAGCTCCGCCTGCAGGTCGAAGAACTCCCCGGTGTCGAAGTCCGGGGCGGCCAGCACCAGCTGCCCCAACCGCGCGCGCGCCGCGCCCCTCGGCGCCTGCCACCCGATAAGGCGCGCGAGGCCGTACAGCGCGACGCGCGAGCCCATGCTGTGCGCGAGCACGTGCACCCTCTCCAGGCGGTATGACGTCAGCAGGCGCTTCATGAAGGCAACGAAATGGGGGACCGCCCACATCGCGTGCGCCTCGTCGCCGCCGTACTCTTCGACGGACTGCGGGAGCGGGAGTTTCCGGGATTTAGGGTTTTAGGGTTTTGGGTATGAGGCTACACAAAGTTGGATCGTGCCTCTTTAAGTCTGGTGGCGCCGCAGCCATCAGATTTAGTAGGGAACCGAAAGCGAGCAACTGGGTTGAAAGCAGGATTGTGTTGAATAGCATAAGATGTTGACGTCGGGCCGTCCGCATCCGCAGACCAAAAGCACGCCCCAGGTTTCTGAACAATCGCAGGAGAAGTCCAGCAGAAAACGGAGGGACTTCAGCTCTTAACTTTCACCAGATGGATCCCCTTATTCCAAACGACTCGATATGCACATCAGATAAAACGGCAGTAAATGCCTACAACAACAATGCCCACGGAAAAATTACTCTTCAAAGTACGCATAGAAGCCAGTCAAGTCTTCGACCTCTGACCATGATCAGCATCCACAAAAACGCGCTCACAAAAGAAATGCGAACGGATACAAACGCACGCCTTCGAAATAACCAACGAATTTACCTCGAAAGACGGCCAGCTGAAGAGGACGATCGCGTGCTCGCGCATCTTGTACGCGTAGAGCGCCATCTTCAGCGCGGCCCACGCGAAGGAGCTATTAAACCCGTGCACGAACACCGTCGCCTCGCGGCCGCCCGGCGCGGCGCCGGCCGCCACGTGGCGCATGAAATGCTCGATGTCGAGCACGATGCACGCGCTGATCTCCAGGCTCTTGCTAGTGTTCCCGGTCGCCCGCTTTCGACTATATGTCCAGCCGAAGGGCAGCTCTCGGCACTTCGATGCGACACCGTCGAAGTCGGGGAGGGACACCCGGACGATGCCCTCGGAGGGCGCGAGCGCGCGCGCGGTGCCAAAGAAATCGGCGGGCGTGCGGCGGCCGGATGGCGCGCGGAGCGTGCAGAAGAAGAGGGCGACCTCCATGAAGCCGGGGGAGGACTCCCCTAAGGAGAAATGGAACGGAAGCATGGGAACGGAACAGGGTGAACGGAACTGTGAAAATAGAAGGGCCGGAACGAAAGACGCGGGATGCGACGGGAAGATTCAACGGGATTGAAGACAAGAGAAACACAGAAAAATGAAGGGAAGCAGTGAAGGTGATAAGAAAAGGCCCAAATGACTGCGTGCAGAGTTGGAGGTCATTAAACTGACCAAAGATGAGTGTCGTTAACCTGGCCAGGGAAGCAGCCCCCTGAGAAGAAACAAAACGGGACACTTAGAGCAGAAAGCGAACGGGATTTAGAAAGCAAGACGTAAACAATCTCAATCTGTTTGACCGGGAATGTAGAACGGGACAACTGTAAACGAACCAGTTGAACGGAAGAAAGCAGATTGGAAGACTCGAAAGAGGAAAGAAGCGACCGACTCGTTTCTTTGACAACCTTGCAATGAGAGAAGGCTTTCTCCGAGCGTGAACAGATGGTGTTTGAAAGTAAGATGCCTACAAGTATTCTAGACAACAAGAACCGCAAGAAGTGCGCTCTTTTGCCTCCAAGGCAAAGTAAATCCTGGCCGCAAACCAAATAAGCCTCTCTCAGCGTCAAATCGGCTGCACTCGTTCGTTTGCTCCTTACCCGAAGCTTTTGCAATCTTGAGCTCTCGTTGCAAGTCCTCTCCCCTCCCTAGCCTCCTCTCTATCTGCTGAAAGTGGTTGAGCAAGTCCTGCTTCTCCCGCCACCCCCTCGGGAGCGCGATGCCGGCCGCGGCCGCGCGCAATTTTGGCGCGAGCGCGTCAAACCATGCGCGCACCGGGCCGGGCCACGCCATGCACTGCTCCCTGACGCCGTCCGCCATCTTCTGCAGGGAGGTGACGTCGATGATGACGTCACCCGTTCCGTGAACCGCGGGGAGTATGCGGTGGTGCAGCTCGTCGGCGAAGGCGGCCCAGTCGCCCCCCATGCGCGCGCGCAGGGTGTCCATGTGGGCGACCAGCGCGCCCAGGAAGAGGGAGCGCTCCGCCTGCTCGGGGGACGCGCGGTCGCCGGCCGTGTCGCAGCGCATGCCGCTGCAACAGGGAAACATTATGCTTCCGGTTGGGCTTGTTTTATCTAATTGGAGGAATCGTCCCAGCTACTCCAGGAGAGAAACTCTCTATCTGCTGCAATCCCTCAAGACTTTGTGACAGCTCATGATGGCATGTTAGGTCGTTGGATGCAGAAAAGAGGGTGCGACCCTCGGGAGATTGAAGTACTCGCCAATTCTGCCACACAATCATTCCCAAGATACCTCCAGCAAGAATGCGCAATACGTCCGCATTCTGCATCAAAGCACCCAGCCTGCAGGTGAAAGCTTCGAACACTCGAGCGCCATCAAAGCTGCAATTATCGTTGCATTTCATATCGCATTTCTGGAATACTGGTTCGCGTCATCGGGCGAGTGCGCGAAGTGGTCAATTCAGCGTGGTAGTACTTCCCTGTCCTCAGTGTTTCCTTCAGTAATAAGAGCTGACTGGGAATCCATAACGCCAGCGTGGCACCGATTAACCCGCTCACAAATGAAGAACCCAGACGGGCTCAAAACGCGGTTTGAAACCCCAAGCTAAGCGTTGACCTTTGGAGGTGATTACATATCTGGTGAGCGGGGCAAGCGGAGTCCGAGAACCTGGTGAAAGTTGTCTTTACCGGGTCCTAGTGCAGTCTGTCTCGTGTCACACTTCACCAGTATGCGATTGTCGGCGACCTTCAGCGCGATCGTCGATTGTCACCGCCGTCACCGGAACTGATTGGTCACATCATTGCATGCACATGCACCTATCACCGATTGATGCAGCTTAGACTATGAGCAGCCTACCAAATAATGGTCAAGGATCTCGGCTTGACTTCAAGGCCCAAGGGTTGAAGCGTGACCACGGAGTCGCAAATGGCTTCTGGCACAGTACAATCGACTACGTACGCTCCTAAGCCCCCGACATGAAGTTCTTCAAGTCTTGGCTCTCTATACACCCTAGCTGAATGATTCATTGATGATTGCAAAGCTAGAGTCGACCGAGTAGGTATCCACTGCAAGTACGCTAATCCACATGCACATATGGTGGATCGACATGGTGCATGCGTGCTCGATTTCTGCTGTTTGGCCGCTACGTTAGGCTATCGGACTCACCATAACATGCAGCTGCGGCATGAGCAGACTTCACGATTGAATCATTCCAACAAAGATGCAGTAGAAGTAAGCGCGCTCGATCGGATCACAAATATCACGATGGGATCACAATCACATTGTGCATAAATGGCGGATCCGAGTACGGTGCAGTGCATTAAATAAAGACCAGTCATCCAGTGACTCCTACTCAGTCGGAAGCTCAAACTTCGATCGACGTTGCATAGACTGAAGGGTTGCTTGTACGAGTACGTCGATCATGCAAAGCTTGCGCTGCTAGATCGAGCAGACAATTAAAATGGTGCCGGGTCTGGCACACGCCACCTTGAGTAAAAGGTCAGATGTGCTGCTGAAAGCGTCACGCGTGGCATACACCCTGCATGTCCAAGAGACACATTAGACAACGCATTGATTGCTTTGCTGGTCCGCCATGATGCCATACGCGTGCGAACTTCAGCTTCACCTAATTGTCATCCACACTATTCATGGGCGAGCGCGAGTCCTCAGAGCATATTCAACCGCTCCGCCATGAGCTCTGCGTTGCTTTTCAACCCTCCCTTTTTCTTCCTGTCAACTCGGAACGCCACCGCCACCTTGCTGTGCTTTATCTGTACCACTGTCGATACAAGCGCACTCGCATTTGCCTCTGGTTTCGCGGAACCCCCTCTGTCGGACGTCCCTGCTTTGGGGAATGCGGACGCCCCTAGCTCTGCGGACAACCCGAAGGGTTCCGTCGCCCCTCCGTTTCCGATAACACCTGCTTTTCCGGACGTCTCTGCTTCTCCAGACAGTACCGAATTGCCAGACGCTCTTGTGCGTTCCAACGTCTCTGCTTTTCTTGACGGCCCCAGAATGCCGGACACTCCTGCTTTCTCGGACCTCTCTCTTTTGTCGGATGGTCCGGAGCCGCCGGACACTTCCGCTTTTCCGGACGTCTCTGCCATTCCGGACGCTTCGGCACTGCCAAACACTACCACTTTTCCGGACGCCTCTACTTTACAGGGCTCGTCCGATTTGCGGGACGGCCCTGCGTGTTCGGACGTCTGAGGTCCGGACGGCCCAAGGCCCACCGCGCGCTTGACAGCTGTCGCCGTGCGAGGGATCACCGGCCACGTGCGGTTGACAGCTGGCTTGCGGGCAGCACTTGGGGGAGCGCCGTTCGATCCACCAGACAGAGCACTTTTCGTTGTCTTGGTCCCGCCACTAAAGGCCTTTTCTAAAGCCCCCCCTTTGTCCTTCGGAGCAACGTCCGCTCGCGCGAGCGAACTCCCCTGAGCCGGCTTGGAGGTCGGGCGCTTGTTTCCGTTTTGGGGGGAAGGTAAGGTGGGCGCTGAACGGGGAGGTTTTTGGTTTCGCGACGGGAGGCCCCCGGGGAGCCCGCGGATAGTTGCCAGTCGCTTCTTCTGCAGGGGGAGTGTGAAATCGCGTCAATATGCAAACTGGTTGTGCCTCTTTCTCGCATTGAGAAAGAGGAGCCCGTTGGAAGTCCAATAGAAGAAAGACGAACTCAGCGGCAAGAATAAACAAATCCTTTCGTCGAATTTGAGCAGATCGTAGCAACCTCCAAAATCAGCCCGGAAACTTACAAGCTTGACTTTGCTCGCGCTCGAGCAGACATCAACAAAACCCGACAACGCGCCAGAAGCACAGTACAGACTTCAACAGGACAGTGCCCGTGACGTCATCCCCTAGCCTGGTCGCCCAACTGCCGGCGCTTCTCCCTGCACACCGCCCGGGCCTGGTAAACCAGCGCCCTGACGTCAGCTTCCGTCACACTACGTCAGCAAGAAGCCCAATTGCCCCTCACCTGGTCGCCCGACAGTATCCGCTCCTCCCCGCGCACCGGCTGCCCCTCGCTCGCGCCCCCCGCGGCCACGCAGTCGTCTTCCTTTCCGCCCCGGGACGCCTTGAAAATGCGCACGGCGAACACGTACGGAAGAACTAGAGCGAAGACGAGCGCGTCCCCGACCTCCAGCCGGTGGTCCAGCGCGAAGCCGCGCCAGCCGCCGCTGAGCGCGGCGGCCTGGCTGTTGATCTTGGCGTGCCAGAGGCGGCCGCCATCGTCGGCGAGCGCGGTCATGCGGAAGGGCTCGAGGCCGTTCTGGCGGAAGAAGTCGGTCATCCCTCCCTGCAGAGCGGAAAACTCTTAGCTTTTCCATTTCCTATCTTTGGATTGAAAGTTTCAGTCGTGTCAGATGCAGCGGTGTGCGTCGGCGAGCGCGGTGATGCGGAAGGGCTCGCCGCCGTTCTGGCGGAAGAAGTCGGTCATCCCGCCCTGCAGGTTAAGCAGGTTCTGGTGAACATTCTCAATTCGTGGTTTAGAGATCGTAAGTCGTGGACGCAATTGAGTCGTGGACCCAAAGTATGGTCGAGCAAGGGGTCGAAGGCGTCTTTGGTGGGAAAGCTGGGTCATGACGCCCTCTGAAGAAGGCGTAGTTCTCCTAGTTCGCACTTCAAAGGCACCTTCAGTTCGATAGATTGTGGGATTCGGAGGCAGCCCCAGCCGGCAGCCAAAGCCGCAGATTTGGAGGGGGCTCGATGGCCTTGAATCAAGGAAGATTCTCAGCGCTCTGAGGTGCACCTCAAGCGGTTCCAAGCCACCGAGTCAACCTCAAGAGCTTGCAAAGGTTTGCACCCCGAAAGAAACTCACAAGGAAGTCGAGAAGGGTGCTGAAACCTGAGTAGCATCCAGAATCTTAAACGAGTATGGAAACCTGGCGAACAAGCCAGCCTTCATGTGCTCCTAGATGAAATCTTTCATCTGCAGCCGACTCTATGATTTCCAGGCCTGCTCAACTTCCTACATGAGCCCCAGGTCTATCAGTAAACAACCTGCAGAAATCGTTGAACGAAGCCTCGATCCTGCCCACTCACCAGCCTGAATCCTTTGTCCGTCTGCGACTTGGACAGCGCCACCCGGAACGTCGGGAACGCGCTCGCGCACCGCTCCATCGCTACTTTCGCCGCCCCTTTGTCCGCTTCGGAGGCCTCCACGTACCGGTGGCCCCCGTCCACGTAGTGCACCAGCCGGCCCCCCTCGTATTCCGCTTCCGGCTCTTCCGTCGTTCCGCCGTTCCGCTCCTCTGGAACGACCCCGCCCCGGGCGCCTTTCTGCAGCTTCTTGGGGGGTTCCTTGCCTTCATCTCGAGCCCGCTTCTTCCCCCCCAGAACCTGCGAAACGCCCCGTTTTGGCGTGTGCTTGATCCGTTTTGCCCCACCCGACCCACCTGTTCTCTCGGGCTTCCTTCCAGCTGTCGTAACAGCTGTCACATCCGCATTGCCAGCTGGCGAGGATTGCGCCTCCGCCCCGTTGACTTTGGTTCCGGAGCGGCCCTCCTCTCTTTTAGCGGAGTCCTTTGACACGCCCACTTTCGCCCTTTTGACGACCGGAAAGATTTCCGTCACCTTCGCCTGCCGCGTCCCCACCGGGGGATCCCCCTGGGCTGGGGGCTGCCCAACCAGACCCCTCTTCTCCTTGTTCCATTCCATGTCCATACGCTCCCCTGTCGAAGGCCTTTCAGCCAACGGCCCCTTCTCCGGTTTTGTAGAATCCTCCACCTTCGGCCGTTTCTTCTTGTCCGTAAGTTCATCAATCACCGCACCTTTCACCGCGTCCGCCGTCCCGACCGACGACCCGCTTGCCCGGACTCTTCGCTCAGCAGCGGTCTGCAGCTCAACTCCGGGTGCACTTGATCCGATCAAAGAGATTCCGTTCTTTTCCGCCCGCTTTCCCCCTCGCTCGTCTACCCCTACTTTCCTCCGCTTCTCAGTCAAAACCCCGTCCATCCCTTCGTCCAGACCCCGCCTCTGCTTGTTCGCCACACCACCGGGGACGCCTGTTCCGGTCGTTCCGCCGGTCGTTCCGTCGCCAGACACGTTCGCCGGCTTCGCCTGCTTCGCAACTGACCGACCATCCCCCACCTCCGTTTCGTCCCCACCAGCTGCCCGCTTTTTTTGCCCCCCCGACAATTCCAAACCTTTCCCGCCCCCCTCCCCGTCAAGCCGTTCCGCCAATTCATTCGCAGCCTTTGCGGCCTTCTCCACACTTCCGCCCAAAGCGCTCCGCCGGAACAGATGCAGCCGGAACCGACGGTTGCCCACTTTTTCGAAAACCACCGCATCGCCTGTCACCAGTCCGTGGTCCCGCGCGAACCCCTTCCAACCTCCGCTGAACCCTCGACTGTCGCTCTTGGTTTTTTGACTCTTTTCGCCGTTCCGGGGGGGCCTGTCCGGTGCCCTCCAGAGCCAGACGACCGAGTGCTTACTCCCCCCCGACTCGAAAGTGACCGCGCACTGTCCCCGCTTCATGAAGCGATTTGCGGTGGGTATCGGCACGCCCTGCGGGGGAGAGGGGGGTGAGTCGGTTGCAAGGATCGTGCTTAGGGCAGGAGTAAGAATGGAGTCGTTGCAACAGATTCGGGGCCAAGGAACATTTCTGTTCGCGGGCTTGTCACCACAGTTTGCGATTACACTTTTGCAAACAACTTCGGGTGTCGCCCGAGTCTAACCAGAAAGAAGTTTCCTCTTTGATTGAAAACGAACAGAATCTCTGGAGCGTGCAACTCGTACAATCACATCGTTTTGTATAGCCTGCCGTGCGGCCAGAGAGCTTAGACGACCATAGTTGGGACACGAGAAGCAACAAATTCTTGCGACTGACGTGAGGAACGATTCGGGTGCATTGGAAAGAGGGAAAACGAAAAGGAGAAGAGCACCAGACTCGCGGGTGGCCTGCTTGATTTGGGTCGAACACTGGAGTTAGAGCTTGTTATCCGAACGACCAACAGAAACGAGGGAAGAATGAAGGATAGAAAGGGATATCAAAACTGCGAGACGAAGCGGAAGCTCAGCTCACCAGCCAGTAGCCACCGCCCACATGCGATGGCAGCATCACTCGCATAAAGCTCCTCTTGAACACGCGATCGTACGACTTCCAGGCCCTCTGTTCGTCCGGTGTCGCTGCAAATAGTGAGCCAAAATCAAACTCGACGATTCGCGAAATATTCCAGCGACCGAAGGGCGTCGCGAACGCATAAGCCCAACGGAAGCGCATCAGTGCGTCGTACCATCTGCGCATTATGGAGCGGATAGGTGGCCGGTTGTCCCCCGGACGTTACCTCATGTCCAGGCCTTCTGGAGAGAAAATATGAGGGCATGGCTCGCTTTGTGCTGAGGTAGTAAGATGGTTCATGCAAGGCTCGGCCATTAGGCCCACAACGACGCACAACCTCGCCACGACTTCCTTGACCATTGTTTATCGCTGCTTTCTCTGAGCCTAATCGTCCCGCTCAAAGCACGGAAGACAACCCAGGACGCCTCTACTGTTGACCTTGCGCACGGACGATCTTCCATGCCGTCCCCATCGTCACCATCAATGGTGATCATTCCCCCACCAGTCTTACCTTCTCCGCGTGTCGTATTGCTCCCTTTGTCAGCAACCCCTCCTCCCTTTCCCACTTTTCCCCCCTTACTCTTCCGACCCTTGGATCCTCCAGCTACATGCTTCCTTCCAGGCCCCTTCGCCGGCTTCTTAGCCTTCTTCTTAACCACTTCGGGCTCGCAGACGTCCTCCTCCGGAACGGCCAGGTTCCCCCCCACAGGTTCAACCGCAACCCCGTCTGGTTCTCTTAACCCGCCTTCTTCTTCCTCCTCGCTCTCTGCAAACAGCAGTGGCATCACCATTGGCACGATTGCAATCCGCTCCTCCTCGATGAGCGGGGTTTCCTCGGGTTCACTGTCAAACCCGTCGTCGTTATCCTCTAACCCGCTGCCCACATCTCCGTCGAAAGGATCCAGCGCTGGGGGGCAATCCAAACCAAGGCGGACGGTCTCACTGAGGTGCCCGTTCACACCAGAGTGCTCGTGCTCATCAGCGCCCGCCGTAGAAAGCACCTCCGAGGCGCCCGGGCTTGTTTCTCCTCCCGGGGGGGTCAGTGACTCTGCCATCTCACCCCCCGTCTTGGTAGCCGTCTTTGCAGGGGTCGTGGGGCTGAAGGGATCCCCCAGGGGTGACTCTCCAAACCGGGGGGCAGAATGCAGACCCTCAGTGGCCCCGGTCTTCGCAGATGGAGTACCGCTCTCGCCACCCGTGACACCGCCAGCTGTCAAATCATCTTCGGACACGGACCCTTTGGACGACCGCACGCGCGGCTCGTCCCCAAGAGCTGCCAAGACTCGCTCCTCAATATCACAGATGCTCTCATTTCCTCGCTGGGGCGCAACGACTGGCCCGTCTTTTCCGGGGGTGCATGGCCCCCCTGCCGAATCCACATCCGCAGACATGGTTGCACGACGGGGTCCGGCTTCTGAGGGACTGCTTCGACCCAAAGCCCCCTGACGATTTTCGGAATCAGTACTTCGCACTCCAGTGACACTGCTCCCAAACATGTCTGGCGCGTCTGCTTCCCCGGGGGCCCCTTTCTCATTTGCCGTCCCATTTTGCTCGGTCTCAGAAGCACCTGATCCTCCCCCTCTTTCCCCTTCCGATCCTTCTCTGTCGATAACACCCGATTTCCACTCCACAAGGGCACCCTCTGACGGTTCGATTCTAGAACCGAAGCCTTGCTCCAGGGCGAGCGGTTGATGCAGCAGGGACTGATTCTTGTCCAGGAGCCTTTGCACTTCAGCAAACTCCTCCGTAGTCTGACCGCACGTGGCGAGCACCTTGTCCTGCAACCGAGCCATCATTACGCTCATCTTCCGAAGGTCCTCTCGCAGCCGCTCCGCTTCGTCTGCGGCGGCGGCTTGCGCCGGCGGGGGATACTCACAAGGCGCTAGCGGTGAACACTCATCCTGCGCAGCAGCGTGCAAAGCGCCGTCCGTTGCTTCTCCCCCAAGTGCATCAACACTTCCAGCGGTCGCTGATTGACTATGCATTTGCCTTCCCCAAGGATCCAAGTCACGAACTGAGTTCTCCGCTTCGACCGCTGATGCCTTGTCTGAGGCAACATCTTTGGTTTCCCGTACGCCTCGAAACTCGCCTTCTTTAGCTTCATGGAGGCCCTCGGGCCCCTTTGACGGGTCAATGAGTGCTGATCTCTGTGGGCTTGCAGGGGTACTCGATTGACTGGAAGTGGGAGTCGGGCGGGACTGGCTGGACTCTTTGAAAACTTCAAGCTTAACCTCGAGGAAGGGGGGTCTTGCGAAGGAGGGGTCATGGGAGGTCTGGGGAGCCTCGTCCAACGGTTCTTGCTTGACGATTAAGGGGTGGAAGAGGGCGACCATCCTGGGAGTTGGAAGGAAGAATGCTTAAGCCATGACCAACAAGCAAGTCCTATCAACATTCACCTTTATCAGAGCTCGAAGCACAGGTTCAAGGTACCAGAGGCCTCACTGCACATAAAACTGATATCCACGGGACAGTGCCAAGCTGGTTAAGATTGTTGGGTTTGTCAAGAGCATTGGCTTGACCCAAGCGCAGTGGCATTGGAATTGATGAGTGCCGCTCTTTGCTGGAGATTCTGCTCAGATCAGCTACACCTAGATCTCCAAAATGAGGCTCCTCATTGATACTCATATCAGAATAGCAGGCAGAGGAACCAGGTTGACAATGATGGAACATCCAATGCAACCCCTGAAACAAAGATTCACAATTGCTTCTACTCAATGAAGGTGCCTGCTGCCACTCCAATTGTTTAGCTCCTCTATGCAGAGCTACTGTCTCCAGCTCCCAGTTGTTGCTCACTTCTTCCGTCAAGATAGTCGCCAGAGAGACTTGAATCGACTGTGGCATCTTACCTTCTTCCGCTTGCTGCAATCCGCCACAAAGTTACATTCGGACGCTCTCCACCATTTCAACCAAGCACTTTGCACAAGAGGATCTGCCTGAACAGGGAAGCAACTCAGAGCACCCTCAGACCGCGATGCTGAGGAACGTTGCTGATCAAGGGCTTCTTCCATTGCCTGTTTGAAGGACACTGAGCTGCATACTATGTAGCCTACGTGCAGCATAGGCTACATACACACCCGTGACGTCATGTCATGGGCATGCTTCGCGCCAGAAATTCTCGGTGCTGACCTAAGCGTGTGTATGCAGCTAATCAGAGTCTGCCAGGTCGGACCGTGTTTTTCGGATGCGCTGAGCTCATTGGCCGGGCCTGAGTCTGCTTGAGTCTGCTCTGCAGACTGCAGCTCTGGTCTCCTCTGCGTCTCTTTCCAGGAACGGCTGAGCTCAGCCTGAGGCTGCTCAGGTATGAACTTGGAAGTTGAAGTTGAAGGGATGCAGCAAGCTCGGAGGAGAATCATTATTCAGTTGCTATGGCGCCGCTCTCGTGGTTTCCTCGCCTGTCTGGCACGGTCGCCAGGGCTTTATTTTCTCCTCTTTCTCTGCCTGCAGACTGCGGGCCAAGATCTTCTGCCCTTGGCGCTAGAGTAGCTCGCTATTCTGTGGCTGCCTGGAACTGGGGCTCCAAATCTTCGGGCTGCAACGATCCCTCCAAAATTGTGGCTGCAAAGCACATCTTCCAGCACCCAATCCACTCTTCCTTGAACAGTCCAGAGGTCAAGAAATTAGGACTAGGCTCCGTATATGTTCGATCCGAGAGCGAAAGGGCCAAGCTTGGGGATGCAGATCATCTGGCTGAGTCGCAAGTTATTAGCCAAACATCAGCAAAAGATGGAAGCTCGTTCTCTAAGGAGGCACTTTCCTCAGAGCCTTATGATAAGAAAGAAGAGGGATGGTCAGGAGGAGGCAACTTGCATTTTCTGGCATCTGAATCAGAGCGGCAGTTCTCTGGAGTCTTGGCCAAAAGATGCAGACATTGTGAGGACTCAAAACCGCTAGTGGACTTTAGGAGGTTGAATAGCGGTCCTGATGGACTAAGTGATTGGTGCAGAGCGTGCCTAGCCACTTTCCATGCAAAGCGCAGCGGGAAAGCACTTCCTGACCACATGCTACTGTCCTTGGAAGAGGCTCAGAAGAGGGCCAAGACATGTACAAAATGCGGTGTTTTGAAAAAGATCCGACAATTCAGCCTTGATAAGAGAAGTGAGGGTGGCATACGGACGCGGTGCAGAGCTTGCAGTTCAAACTACCATAGATCACGGCTACATGAACCTTCCGATGACCTACATTTGTGCAACCGCTGTAGCACTCTCCTGCCTGTAGAAGCATTCTATCGCAATTGCCGCAAAGCATCCGGTCTCGATGGATTTTGCAAGCTTTGCTTTAAAGAGCTCAAGAAAGCAAGCGAAACAAAGATCAAAGCATCACAAGTGTATATTGCAAGAGATGCAAAACGTTGTAGCATCTGCAAGGTCGTCAAAGAAACTTCTGCGTTTAGCAGACACTTGACTGAGGCAGATGGTTTACAACGTTCTCGCAAGTCATGCCAAACTCTATCAGGTAACAGACTGTATCAGCTTAAGAAGAATCGATCGAAAGTAGGGTCAACTTGAACCCCAATTCTGGATTGATCTGTTGTAACTTCTTCTATGATAGGCTGTCTGGTCAAATGTATCTTTGTTCAAAGCTGAGAGAAAATTGAGCATTTCTTGCTGCCATATGCATCAGGGCCCGAGTACGTAAGGCATTGAGGAAGGGCAACCTGCTGTATGTGGGTTTCAGTAATATTCAAAAAGACGATCCTCACAAGGCATCTGCAACGTCGGGGCTGGGTCGAAGTTTGCAGAGTCTCTAGTATACTCTGATCTGAACTTCCGGGATGCGGATCTGGCGTAGGTCCCTTTGTGTCCTACCTATGGGGTCACCTCAGTGTGCGTGCGCCCCCAAGCAAGCCATGGCAAACCCAGTCCATGACACGGAGCAAACCGTTTGAACTCAGCAAGCTGTGCAATGTCTTATAGTCTCTGGCAAACCTTCAAACAAGTCAGAAGTTGAAGTCGGCAGGTGGAACAATTGCCCCCGAGAAAACGGGCTTTGCTAATTATGCGGATTGGGCGCCATTGCGAACGGCGTATCTGAAAAGCGACCATCATTCATTCATGTATATGCATCATATATGTATGTATATATGTATACATGTGCAGATGCTAACGTACAAAATGGTAATGTATCCTTGGTGCAAGACACATATGCAGCTAAGTCTCATGCACCGGTTCCAATTTTGCCAAATCATTGCAGCTGCGAGCCTGGATCAAAGAGCATTGTCATGTGATAAATTAAAAGCGTATGATGCGGCGGGTAGGTTCAATATATTCCAGATTCAGGATCTGCGACCTTAGTATGGTTAAGCAAGCTATAAAAGCTGGTTAACGAGCTCAGTTGCGCTTCCTGCCCGGACCGGCCACTAGGCGCAAGCATGCATGTTGCTCATCAGTTTTAGTTCGTATCAATCACAAGTTAACTATTAGCCACTTGCAAGATGCAGGCTGAAGTCAGCAGAAGTGTGCCGAGCACATGCAAGTGACCTGATTCATGACATGGCCGTATGAATCAATTAGTCCTTGCAAACAAATCCCACAATACAAGAAGCCCCTTCTCGGCCCGTAGAACCATGTTCCACCCTATTGGCTTTCTCTTCGACGCTCTCAAACGGACTGGTCGTCCGACGCTGCCATCGAATGCGCATGTCTAATCATGGAATATTTAACCTGCTTTCCGCGGCAAAGCGCCACTCATCTTTGTCGAAGCAGCAGAAAAATTTGGTCGAGGCGCATTTGCTACTTAGCCCCTCCTCTTCATATGCACCAAACTATATATTCCAACGATGAATTCCGGCCACACTTCAAGAAGAGTGGCGCGCTTCATTATCGAGCCCAATCAAACTACACACGTATTCTAGACTTTGATCCCGATCGATGCAGTGAACACTAACAGCCAGTGAACAGTAATGCAGACGGGTAGGGTTGGTTAGGGGGTTAGGTTGGGTACTGATGCAAAGCGGGTGATCTTTGGGTTAGGCTTTTTAGTGAACCCCAAAATGCTTACTGATCACTAGGCTTGCTGTTCACTAGGTTGAGAAATACTAGACTTTGTCCCCCGGGTTGGCGGGTCGTGCCCCGACCGGCAGCTCCTGCTTCCTCCACGAGAGAAAGTCCCCCCCCCGGTCGACCTTCTTCCCCCGGAGGTCCTCTCGGAGACGCGCGGGCGCGGGTGCGGAGATGCGCACCGTCGGCTCAGCGCGGCGCGTGCGCGAATCGGCCTCCGCGATGAGCTCGTCGGCAAACTCCTCGAGGCGCTCCCCGTAGGTTTCGTCGAGCTCTTGGACGAAGCCGTACCTGGGGCGGGTTAGACGGGGGGTTAGGTGTCGGGTTAGGCGTCGGGTTAGGTGTTCGGGTGTGCGAACAGTGTGACGCTCTACAGCTCAGAAAAAGGGCGTTCGTGACATTCCTGAGCTGACACGCACCCTGCGTAAGGCTGATTGGCATCCTGAGCAAATCTGGGTAGCCTTGGGTTAAAACCACCTGATTTTTGGGTTGCAAACTACATGAATCGTGGGTTGCGTCAGTGCAGAGAAGAAGCTGGAGTTGAAAGCTGTAGTTTTTGACTTGTAGGCATAGAATCTACGAGGTGACTGAAACTGCAGAAAGGAAGGAGGGTCTGTCATCCGGGTTCGACCAAACGTAGTTCGTCAGCTGTCTGTCTGAGCTCTTGGTCGAAGCCGTGACAGACGGAGAAGCCGAGGACGTTGCAGAGGCAGTGAACGGAGACAGCGGATTTGATCTAAGCGCGCCCGGCGCCCGCCCGGGCGATTGTCACCCTTGCAGTAATTCAGAATTTGTCTTGGGTTCAGGCCCGTGGCCGGGGGGATTCAGGGGGGCTCTGCGGCATCGGAGAGCAATCGGGAAAGGTTTCAGGATCAATTCCAAAACGGCGCTCACGAGAAGCGGCGAAATGTCATAACTCAACTGCCCAAAACATAAATGCTGAACACGCTTCCACTTCCTCTGGGCACAACATGTTTATCTACCGAAATGTGCCTCGGGTAAGGGTGAGCCAAGATTCACAAACCAGACTTCTGGCTTGCGGACCTTTCACAGGAACATATCGGTCGGCATTTGTAACATACGGAGTGGCAACCGGGCCAGCACAAAAGAGGACGACTTCACACGCAATATTTGCTGAAGGACTGGCGATTACAGGCTGCAGGGCCTTCGTCAAACGGCGATTCATTTAGGGAACCTCGTGCGCCCCTCCTTTAAGGCTTTACAGTATGATTCGCTTCAGAGTAAGCATCTGGACCCTGGGCCAGGAGCGGGCAGATACGGAAACACGGCAAGGAAACGAACGCGAAAGAGAGAGACGCGGCGCACCGTGAACGGGGATGAACCGAATCACGGGACCGCATTGAGCACAAGAACAGTACCGAGGGGCATAGCGCATGGACGTACGAATTGCAATGACGTACCAACCTTCGAAGTTGGTACGTCATGGACGTACTCGATGGAAAGTAACGATTTTCGAACCAATGTGTCCTTTCAGCAGGCTGCCAGGAATTGTTTTGGGGTCAATTTGCAGATTGCTGTTTTCAGCCCTTTCAAGGCAATCTTGAGGGGCGAAGAGGAGAGAAGTGCGTGGAAAGGATTTCGGGCGTACTGTCGAGCTTCCCAGGACTTTTCCTTTTCCGACTCGCATCAAGGAAACTATCAATGCTGATTTAAAAAGTTTATACGGCTTAAAAATACGCGGCGCGTAGAAGCACAGAAACAAAAGCACGCGAGGCGAAAGGGCGGGGGCTCACCGGTCGAGCGTGACGGCCTTGCTCGCGAGCGCTTCCTCGGTCAGCTTCTCCAGTGCGGCGATGTTGGCGGGAGTGGCGTTGTCCAGCTGCTTCGTGGTCCCGGTCAGGTTCTTCACCTGGGGAAAGACAGAGAGTGGCGACCGGTGAATACAGTGTGAATGCGCTCATAATGCTCGTATCTTTGGCAGCGGGTTCAGCGTACCGTTGTGACGTTGGCGGGGCTGACGTTGTCAGCTGCTTCGTGGTCCTAGTCAAGTTCTTTCAGCTAAAAAGACAGAGAGTGGCGACCGGTGGTTCCAGTGTGCATTCGCCCTTGATGGGGTTGAATATTGAAGCCAATCCAGTGTCACCCCCTCGTGACGTTGGCGACGGTGGCGTTGTCCAGCTGTTTCGTGGTCCCGGATAGGTTCTTCACCTGGAGGACTGAACGAGCGGCGCCCGGTGAGAGTGAATACGCACCCTCTTAATGCGTGTCATCCATTAATCTGGATAAACATTTCGGTCAGACGCTTTATTGGAAGCGGCCAAGTGCTGAGGTAAATAAGCACTTGGTTTCCTTTTTACTGCTTGTTGATTCTATTATGCGGCTGAGCGGAAGAAAGAGAAAGAGCAGCCTGGAAATCACAGTTTACCTACGCATTCGATGGGATGACTTGAAACCCTGGAGACGGTGACAGATTCCGTGCCTCAATCGAAAGGTGGGTCTCCTCGACTACGAATGTTAGTTGAAACACACGAGCCTCGATGCGGAGGTAGGACTAAGCGATGCTGAGCTGTTCAGAGTAGCACAACGGAGGAGAGAACATAATTCTCGGTCTGTGAAAGTTCAGGAAACGCCGGAATTTTCCGTGGAACTCTTCAAATCACAGCGGAGGGGCACATACCTCGATCCGGAGGTAGGACTTGGCGGTAGAGAGCGCCTCGGAAAGAAAGGATCACCCGATTTGCGACATATTGTGGAAACTCAAATCTTTCAGCGTTTTGGCGGAGGATGTGACTTGATCCGGCCGGAGGTACGAAGTGGCGGGGGAGAGCGCCTCGGAGAAGGAGCGAACAAGCAAAAAGCATAAGGACTCAAACCACTTGCTGAAGGGAGCGGCTCGCGCGGGGAGCCAAGGAGGAAAAGAAGAAAGGACTTGAAAGCTGCAAATGTCAAAGTTTGCGGTGAAACACGTGCCTCGATGCGGAGGTAGGACTTGGCTGTTGAGAGCGCCTCGGAGAAGAGCGTCATGATGAAGTCGACGGTGTTGCCGTTCCCCCACAGCATCATCTCCATCACGGGGACCGCCCACCCCAGCAGGCCCCACTGCCGCGCGCGCTTGTAGTCGTACGTGTCCACGCCCTCGCCTGGGAGTGCAACAAGGTCAGAAACAAGGCCTCGAACCGTCATTTTCTGGTTCCTGACTAAACGCATTTTCAGGGCTCGTGACGCATAGGAAGGGCTCACGTCTGCCAAACTCTGGTGCCCACTGGCGCGCGCGCTTGTAGTCATACGTGTCCACGCCCTCGCCTGAAGATGCAACAATATCAGAAACAAGGCCTCACGCACGCGGACGACGTAAGAAAGCCGACGAGCACGATTTCCGACGCCCTTTTACCGCGCGCGCTTGTAGTCGTGCGTCTCCACGCCCTCGCCGGGAAAGACGATATGGTGAAAAAGAAGGCCTCCGGAAGGACGGCGAGGTTCGGTGGACGTCATTCGTAAACGCCGACGACGTCAAGAACCTAACGGTCACATTCTCAGAACAATTCAACTTCACGGTCAATATAACGACGGCCTTCGCAACGTCCAATTTCAAATTGGACTTTCGCTTCTGCCGCCCAGAATGAGGATCGGCAGGTTGGGCGCTCATCGTCTGCCGGCGCGCTGAGAGAAGAGCATCAGACAAACGAAAAGATAGATGTGGGTCTGCCAAAGAGGTTAAAGGACCATCGAGCCATCAATATGAGTTCTCAATCTGGTGCCAGCTTTCGAGCTCGTTCCGCTCGAGTCCAGAAAATGGCATATGACAAGATCCAGACAGGTTTTCTTCTGTTCAAGACAAGCAAGAACACCAATCGCACCGGCTGACTGCCGACCGGTGTCCCTTGCTTGGAATCTAAGTCTGCCAGAAAACGAAAGCCGGCCGGTGGACGACTGCAGCTGACTAGAAAATATAGTTCAACCCTTCAGCCCTTCAGGGTGACAACCGGTAGCTTCTGGTCAAAATTTTGGTTAAAGTAACCCACCTGCTCCCAGACTGAGCACCAGCCGCGGCCGCGTCAGGCTGGACGTCGGAAACTCTTCCCGGTTGACGATGAGATGGTTGACCGCGGCCAAAGTCTGCGCACGGCACAGATGAGAGGTCAGCCGTGCGTGATTTTGACTGCGCCAGAATCAAGCCCGGAACATGATGGGAGATGCTTGCCGATAGTCGACCTTGCTGAGTGTAACTACCAGGACTAACCGAGTCTCCACAACGAGTTTGCAAGCGAAGGCCAGTTACGGCTAACGTCTAGTGACGCACTGAAGAGAGTCAAAACAAGTCAGGCTCAGACTTTCAAGAAGGTGCTCATCCTCAGGTGCATTAAGTTGTTTTGAAATGGGATTGGGTTTGGAGACTACTTCGCCGGCCCTGGGTTGACGCAAGAAGAGCCCTACGAGAAATGGCGATTACGGCGACGGCGAACTTGACCGGTAATCGCATCAAGTCAAAGAACAAACCTAGCTACCACCCGAAGAAGACTCGATAAGCTTCACCGTTGATCGGGTTGTTTGCAGATAACTTTTCTAAGAGTCGAGCAACTACTGGCCGGGCGTGCATACGACCAGGTACTGGCCCGGTCACACTTTGACAGGTGACTACCCGGGGGCTTGAAGTAGGACGGTTATCCTCACGGACCGGGCTAAACTTTACGGAACTACTCAACAGTCGAGTGTTTCACGATTATGCCCCGTCGGGGTGCTCTCGTCGACAGACCAGATGCATGCCGGCTTGGAGTGGGACGCTTCTCCTCACGGATCGGTTTAAGATAATTGAACTCCACATTGAGTTCAAAATGAGTATTTGGCGACTAACCGGGTTATTCACCAGAATAACCCGATGACGGCCCCGTCAGCACACACTGCCCGGGTGCTCTTGTCGACGCACTCGATGCACGCGGGCTTGAAGATAGAACGGATATCTTCGCGGATCGGGTCGGATGTAACGAAGCCGATACTTAATGGCGGAGTTGATTGACTAACCGGGTTATTTGCGATGATACCCCCATTAGCGCACACTGCCCGGGTGCTCTCGTCGACCGACCAGATGCACGCGGGCTTGAAGATAGAACAGATATTCTTACGGATCGGGTCAGATGTAGCGAAACTGATAAATAATGGCGGGCTTAAGTGACTAACCGGGTTATTCGCGATGATGCCCCCGTCGGCGCACACCGCCCGGGTGCTCTCGTCGACCGACCAGATGCACGCGGGCTTGAAGTAGGACGGCGCGGCCGCGGTGGCGCGGCACACGTCGCGCAGCCGAAAGTCGTGGGAGTCCGACAGCTGGGCCTGGGAGAGTTGGATGAATGTTGTGTTTTTCCGACTTGCGTTGTTTCAACATTTCAGAGTCCCAACGTCCCCGTATTAGACGGTGGTCGAGATTCCGTTGCTCTTTTCAAGTACGCAGGGGCAAAAATCGAGCTTCAAAATCTCAGGACCGACAGTCCCCGACCTTTAGAAAGTCGTGCGGGTCGGACTACTGGGCCTGGAAGAGATGTTCAGGATTCAAGGTCTTGCCAGATTTTCGGAGTATCAAAGTTCCTGAGTTTTATGGGAGTCGAAGTTGCGCTGAACCAGATACTGCTCGTTTATAGTGCTTTGGCAGGGTTGGAGCGGCACACGGTGTGCGGTACAATATTGTGGAAGTCCAAGCGCTGGCCCTTCGGAACACATCAGGGTTTGGAGGTTGAGGGTCTTGCGAGTGCCAGGTTAAATGAGTGGAGAAACACATTGAGCCGTTGCGCTGCTTTGCAAAGTGGAAAAGAGCAATCCTCCTTGAATACCGACGTCGGATAACGGCCAGCAAGATACGCTTCACCTTTTGAAAAAAGAGGGTCGCCGCTTATTCGTTCCGGGCACACCATACTGACTCATTCTAACAAGCAACAGTAAGCAACGGTGAGCAATGACTACGTGTCTTAATCGTTCAATTACCACTTACACATGATAATTCCGGACGGAATTGGCGAGGCTCACCAGTTTCCGAACAAAGAAGCGCGGGGACGCCCGGCTGAGGTCGTACGAGGTGATGAGGCACGGCTTGAGCAGGTTCTTCAGCGTCAGCGGCGTCTCCCACGGCTCCGTCAAGTAATAGTCCAGTATGCGCTCTAGGGGCCTGTGATGAACAGGAAAAATGGTCACTGTAGCCAACAGGTCTTGAGACGGGGGTGTCTTCTGGGATGGGCAGATTAGGCTGTGGGAAGCAACCATATTGTGAGCCGGTGTCGCGGTTCAGAAAGTCCAGAATGCGCTCTAGAGGCCTGTGATGAAGTGGTAGACTGTTTGACATAGCCAAGAGGTCTCGTGATTTGGTGTTACTGTGAGATGGATCCATATTCACGAGCCTCTGTAGTCCGTTTGCAGTGCACAGCTTCTCTCGAGACATATTGTGATCGTAGTGCTCGAGAAACCGGGTTGCCGAGGACGCCAATGGCGCGCACGTTTGGAATGCTCCAACACGCGAAACCTGTTTGCAACGAGTGCCAAATCTCACGGAAGTATGCACTGCTTCCGTAAAGCATACAACTTCGCGAGCCCTCGTTTTCGGACCCCAAAAGGCGATATGGCCCCAGCTCGAAGGAGTCCCCTAACTTTAGTATACCTTAACAGACAAACACCGGCGGTGGATCGACCACAAAAGGCTTGACAGAACCGGCGGAAGTTTGGGAGGGTCCAAAACGTCCGAATTTGGTCCACGTTTTCCTTCCGCGGGTTCTGACGTTTGAGAGGTGCTCACTTGGTGCTGTACTTGGGCTTGAAGATCTGGCGCAGCCCGGCCGCCCAGTGCTTGTAGAAGATCATGGGCGAGTTGTTCTTGATGAACGTCGCGGCCTCCGCCGCGCTGAAGAGCGGCCGCCCGTCCTCGTTGGGCGTCAGCAGCATCACTGCCAGTAGCCCGCCCACAGAGGTTCCTGCGGAATATGTGAGGGTGTTAATATTCTTGGGTGAGTTTGGCCTGTGAGGACTTGACACTCATAGTTTGCGGGGCATGGATTCCGAAAATGGTCTGCTGAAGAGCGGCCGCCCGTCCTCGTCCGGCGTCAGCAGCATCACCGCCAGCAAGCCGCCCGCCGACGTGCCTGTGGGGTGTCATATCTTCTAGGCTTTAGGGGTAAAGACTTTGAGTGCGGTCCGAGACGCTGGAACTTTCGAAGCATAGAGCAGAGTATTGAAGCGCTGCCTTCGAATGTTGTTGGGCGTCAGCAGCGTGAACGCCAGCAAGTCGCCCAAGGACGTGCCTATGATTCTTAAGAAGATGAAGGCGAGTGAAGATCATACTAAGCTCCCACAAAGACTGAAAACCCTGACCCGGAGAACCACCTGCTCCGCCATCCTACCCACCAGGAAAATCCCAAGCTATTCCCCCGTCCCAGGTTACCTTATCAAACGTCTTGAGCTTATTTACTAATTGTAGTAAGATTACGAAGAGCCTGGGGAATGTTTGATCTGCTTTGTTGAGAGGCTCGAATATTTGTTGGATCTGGAAGGCTTCTTTACAGGTGAACGGTACAAGCAATGCTGCCCTTTTTAGGAGCGGGAAGGTCTCTCGTACTTTCGACTCCAAGATCATCGACTCTGAATTGCTCGCGCAGCCTGCCGTGCATCCCGTACGAGTATGCCAGGGTCAATACAGCGCTTCTGATGCAGAAGCAGGGCTTGACAGAAGAGACAGTAATCCTCTAGAGCTGTACGAGAAGGTACCAGCAGCTCGACATAGCAAGCTTTCCCAGACTTAGTCGAAGGCAACCGAAGGCCAGAACTCAGAAGGCGAATCCAGCGATAATCCAGCGATCATCCTGCCCTTTGAAAAGCCGGTAAGAGCAGCAAACGGCAATTCGTAAAGCTAGGGGTTTGAAACAAACTGACCAGCGATCATGTCGAAGTAGTCGGCGATCCGCGCGTCGGGGTTGCCGCTCTTCTGCTGCAGCATGCCCTCCAGCCGAGCCAGCGTCAGCGCAGGTATGAGTCCTCGCACCCCTCCGCCATCTAGGAGTAAGAAAGGCTCGAGGAGCTCTGAATCAGGAAGGCTCGAATTTTCCCGCTCTGCTTCGAAGGTGATCACAAGCGCTCTGTGCAATAGAGAGAGGCGACGGACTTTCAGACGACTGCCCCTTGGTTGGCGATTGAGCATTTGGGCGGAGCGACCTTCGATCGTTTAGGAAGCTCTGAAAGCCGCCACTGCATGTCTTCTGGATTACGACCATGACTGACACTCGCAAGATACGTTCCGAATCTTCGAGTATAGTCAAACGAAGAGGCCAGGATTATGAGATGAAGCGAGAAGTGGTGCCTTTCTTAAGGTAGATTGTCTGTTCAAAGAAAGAGGGTCCAGAGAGTCTACCCATTATCGGGTCCCTGTCTTGGGAATATATGACCACTTATTGTCAAAAGACTAACGCTTCTTACCTCTATGTAGATGCAACAAATCTTATTGATTGGATGGTCACGAGCTTAGATAAGCGAAAGCCAGTTTCATCAATCCGGTCTATACCAAACTGCCTGATCGAATATTATTGAAGGACAAGACTTGACTGAACTCAGTCAGCCTAACCAGAACCAACGGAGCCTAGTTCCACGCAATCAACATCGCAAGCTTCTCTTATATTAACCAAACATGTTCGAGATGAATCAGGATGATGGAGCTAAACAAAGGTAGACCAATCCCTTTGCTCACCTATTGCCAGGACGCAGACCTTGCCCTCCGGTTTCGGCATGATGTCCGACGGAATCTTGCTCAACTGCCGCCGAACCTCGCTCCCGAGCCGTCCCATGTCCCCTTCTCCCACGGCCATCGCACTCATCGCATCTTGCCACACTTCCTCCGCTTTCACTTCGCCGTTCTCCCCTATCTGAATTTCGAGCCTTCGTACGAAACCCCCTCCCCCTGCCGACGATCCCGATGACGATTCCGTCCTCAGGGGGGTCCCCGAGGGCCCCGCATTCGACCCCCCTGGAGTAGCAGACTCGGCGCCGTGCGAAGCTGACTCGCTGTCCCCTCTATTGTCCGACAAGTTTGGATGCGCGCTAGAGTGTCTTTCTACGGGACGCGCGGGAGCGGCTGTGGGCATCCCCGCTTCCTCCTGCAGAAGCCCGGCTTTGAGCCTGTTCGCACCCGGGCCCTCCTTGCCATCTGGCAGGTGTGAATGGCCCCCTTCTGCTCCAACGCCCGCCCCCCCTCCCTCCTTTTCAGTCACACCCACGCCCCCTTCGCGGTCCTGCTTCTCCTGGGGGATGAACGACTCCCCGGCCTGCACCCCCCTGTTCTGCAACCGCACGCCTTCCGGTGCGATCAAACTCCGAACGAAAGAAAATCCCCGATGGGCGATCGAGGGCGCCTCTTTTCTCAGCACGGGGAACCAGAGCGACTGCCTCGTACCTTCTCTCCCTTTCTCGGCCTCTTCGTGATGGTGGCCGGAGGGCCCGTTTACACCTGAGGGCGCGTTCGCACCACCGCCGGCGAGTGAACTCTCATCTCGGCTCATGCTTTTTCTGGTCTGGCCCGATTCTTCGTCCCCCCCCTGAACGGCACGCCAGCTCGGCGCGATGCTTAGCTGCGCTAGGCCTAGCCATGGGTTTGGCTGTTCGTGTCTGGGCCTTTCTGATGGTTCCCCCTTTTTGGGGGCCTTGGCTTCCCTCTGCTCAGTGTCTTTCTTCCCCATACTTGGCCCGCTTGTTGCTTTCACTGGCTAGATGTTTATGGACAAGTGAGTGTGCAATTCTTGGCCTGCAGAAGGTGCCTTTTCCCCCTATGTAAAAGACTTTAGGTCATGGGGGAAGTACAATGCTTGCCTGCACTAAGAATGTCAATGTGATGAAAGATGAAACACTCCTTTCAAACGGCCTTTCAAGATCCTCGAATTGGAAAGCACTGAAGTCTGCTGAAAGGGCATTTCAAACGCATTGCTGTTTAAAAGCGATTGTTTTGTAAGTTTGTCGCTTTCAGTGACTGGTCAGACAGCAGTTGCATTGAAGCATGCTTGTTGCAGTCATGGTTGATGTGGTCAACGCATTGAGCTCAGACTTTTCAAGGGGCAGCATTGAACTGAGCTCAGATCTGTGCACATTGATACAAGGAGCTCCAATTGGAAACACTCGACTTTCTATCTGTTGACCCTCATCGTAACTCATCGAAAAGAAAAGTTATCAAGAATCAGTGGGACCATAAGATACTTATGAACCGCCAGCATTGCAGACTGTGTGCCAGTGAGGGCACATTATGCTTAAACAATCAGCCTTTACGAGACTCACCTTCAGTAGCCTTCCGTCTCCTATACACAAAGTAACTGTTCTGTGGTGGTTCTCAAAGTTTCCAGAACCGCTTTGCTCATCAGTAGATGTAAAGATGCGCAGCATTGCCCTGCAGCACAGGTCTCGAAGAGAAATGTGCTGCCTACTTTCTTTGCAATTGGCGACTGCAATTGCTGTTCTCAATTGAGCTGGCTCTGTGCTCCTTCTAAGAAGACGAAGGGTTCCAGCAGTGGTATGGTGCTCCATGACCAGAATGCTCACGAGAGTTCTGTGTAGCACTGAGGCGCCGAAAGCGTGATGTCAGCACATGCCACCTGATCGGTTAGCGTTCATTCGCAGCCCTCCGATGAACTCGGAAGAACCATTCGACGGTTATAATTTTGCTCTCACATTTTGCATGGCCAACAGTGACATCAGCAGTCTGATGAAGCTCATCACATGCAGGGTTTACTAACTTTCAGCAAACCCTAATACAGAAATGGTAGCGGTGTCGTGTACCGTCTTGCT